TATATGCCTCCCTTAATTGTATGTCAAATTCTTTTCCTCTGCTTGGGAAGTTTCCTGCCATTACTTCTGTGGACAGGTTTCATTTTGTTTTATGTCTCTATTGCCTGCTTTTTTATTGACTCTGATCAATCCTATGTTATTCTCTTTGCATCATGTAGTAGCTGTTGGATTGATTTTTCATGGTTTCTTGCTGTTTTTAAGAAATCTTTCTTTTCATGATTGCTAACTGAAATACTGTGGGTTTTGTTTTTTGTTTTTGTTTTTTGAGACAAGGTCTCTCTATATAGTAGAGGCTGGCCTTGAGTTCGCTTATGTAGCCCAGGCTGACATCAAACTCATGGTGATCCTCCTGCCTCAGCCTCCCAAGTGCTGGGATTATAGGTGTGTGCCGCCATGCCCAGCTGAAATCCTGTCTTCTATATCTGTTACTCTTGTCCTCACTTTGGCTCATTCTGCTGCATATACTTTCAGTGGAATTTTTAATCTACTTGTCTGAATATTTGTTTGAATTTGTTTCATGGATTCCATTTCTTTCCTATTTGGGGCATTCATGGTTTCCATCATTTTCCTAATCTCTCTTTTTTTAATCTGTATGTGCTCTAGAGTCACTATCCATGTCTTTCATTATATCCACATCTCTGTAGGTATATAAGAAAGTATTTCTCATGTGATTCTTGTAGAACCTCATTGATCTACTTTGTTACTGCTGCTGTTATCACTTCAGAGGGTCCAAGTGGGTGGCTTTTGAATTGTTCTACTTCATTGCCCTTTAGGTTTGCCTTTGGTGAGTTGGAAGTCTGGGATTGCATATTAAGGCTTAAGTGTCTCTCAGTTTCTATTTCCTTTAGCTTAATTGCTGGGCTGATGTTTGTAAATTGCTTAGGGCTGGTAGCTTTATTGCTAGTATTAAGAAACTTTAGGAAATGACTATTTCTCAAATATGTCTTCCAGGTGTAGCTGGCTTTTGGGTTTTGAGTCTATTGCAAGACCCTACCTCTTCAATTTATTGGGGATGAGAAGTTGCTGCCTATTTTGCCTACCTCCTGATTCTTTGGCACTGACCTATAGTATTTTTTATGACCCTTAAGCAATCTCAGTCTTATCAGAAAGAACAACTGATTAGAACAGTTATGTCACCTTGGCTAAAGTAGTACAATCAGCAAGAACAATAGTGTCAAACAAAGCCTAGAAAATGACCAACTGTGGTAACAATTAATTTTCCACCTTTATGTATGAACTGTATTTGTGCTTATATAGCAAAATCTAAAATGAACCAGAAAATTATATACAGTAAATGTGCCCTCATTATGGTGATTTTATCCTCAGGAGAGAAAATTTAAAAGGGGTTGGGGGAAAAATAGAAGATGAAGAAGAGGTTAGAAGCAAGGCTGGAGGACAAAGGAAGATTATGCAAACTTTGGGAAATTTGTGAAGAAGACAGGAGAGAGAGAGGGAAGAAATAATAAAAAAAGAACAACATCAACAAAACTAGAAACAATGTTCACAGCCATATAAAATAAGAACAATGAAGAAATAAAAAACCAAAACAAAACAAAAAAGAAAAAACAGTCCACTTCAGGGCATGTCTCTGCTGGCACTGGTAGACAGAATGGCGAGGCAAAACCTAGATCCATGTTGATCAATCCCAGCAAGCCAGCTGTAGATTTACAGTGAGGTAGTGGATAGTCCCAGCAAGTCTGTACCTTTAGTTCCACTGAGGTTCAAATTGGTTTCTGACTGTGAGGCTGGAACCTGATTAGTTTGGCCTGCAGCACTCCATGTGCCCTCCTGCTGGCTTTGACCTCCTGCTGACTTGAACTTGGTTCCACCTCACTCTGACACTGGCAGTCACTGGATAGAGCCAGCCCACAGCTTCTCTGAATCCCTAGCTCAGTTGGTTCCTCTCTAAGATGGCTAATGGCTAATTGACCTCCCCAGGGGTACATCCGAATCCAAATAACTCACCAGCCACTGCAGTCTGCTGCATCCACTGCTCAGTTCCACTGGTACATTTCTCTGTGGAGACCTCTGGGGTTGCCAGTAGTCACTGTGTATCTGCAGGTTTGAGCCATCTGCACACACAGTGAATCAGGCCTCGGGGAGAACGCACCACTTACCACCTCCTTCTGCGTTAAGGTCTGTCTCTTTGCTCTCCCTGTGTGCGTCAACACTCGCCTCAGACCCTTTCTGGGTCCTAGGGACCCACTTTCCTCCTCTTTCTCATGTTGCTCTTTGTGAGTGTCTGGAAAACAAATCTTGGAGCGGCTGTTTCTCTGCTGCTCCACTCCAACCAAGGGTATTTATTTCTAACATGGTTTCTTCCTAAAGCTTTATTTTTAACCTTTCCCGTGTAAATCCATACTCCATCTGGAATTGAGTTTTGTGGCCAATGTGAGGTGTAGGTGTTTTTCCATATGTACGTGAAGTTGACTCCATGCTATTTGCTTAAAAATCTGTCCCTTCTGTATATGCAAGATTCAGCTCCAGGTCCCTCATACCTGTTCCATTGCACTGTCTGACCCCACAGCATATAGTGAGTCCACTACTGATAGCTCAAGTGACCAGCTTTGACTTCTGTGGAGACTTTTCTTAGGGTTGCATGGGCCGATTGTAGGATGGGGAGAAGTGATGGCTTTACATTCCTCCACTCAGAAGCCCCAGAGTTCATCAGTCTTTGATTTGTCAACAGTGTCTTACAGTTTTACAACGGTTACGCTATTATAAATGGTATTTCTTCACATATCCTTTTTCTCTTTTGTTGCTGGTATTTAAAAGCATTATTAAATTTCACATATTTGCGATATCTCGCCACCTTCCTAAATTTACTTAATTCTAATAATTTATCCTTATATTCCTCTGCATTTTTCACATATATAGTCATGCCATTTGCATGATGGTTGTGGTTTAATTTCCTTCCTCCCAGCTTTGTCCCTTTCACTTGTCTCCTTGCCTGCCAAGGTGGGGCCTCTGTACAGGGTAAGTGGCAGTGGCCACACAGCCCCTGCACCCTATGAGAAGGGCCCTGCCTGTGCATCTTCTGTAAAACTTTAGAATTTACCCCCGTGGTCCATTTGGTCACAAGAGGCTGGGTTGTTCCCCATCCAGCCGCAGTACCTTCTGCAGGTTTATAGTTAAGGATGAAATGGATTTAAATGCAGAATGCTGAGAATGGGAGGTGCTTATCCTCAAGCTCATCCTTATGCCTGACTTATCCTCAGGCATTTATTTCTGTTTTGTACAGTTTGAATGATTTCACAGATTGTTGATTGGTGGACCTCCATGACTTTGGTTTTTTGTTTGCTTGTTTGCTTTGTTTTGGTTTTGTTTTGCAGTACCTAGGGGTTAAGCCCAGGGCCTTCGCACAGAACTACTTCCCCATCCCCAGCCCTTTTTTATTCTGAGAAAGCCCTGGCCAAGTTGCTAAATTGCCCAACTTAGATCTGGGTTGAATCTTGTGATCCTCTTGCCTCAGCCTCGCTGCGTGCTGGGATTACAGGTGTGCACCACTGCTCACGGATACTTTGCTGAAGAGAGTATTCCAGCAAAAAAGAGACTTGAAGGCAAGTCTGACCTCTGGATTTGCAGCAGCTGCTGAGAGTTTATTTGAGCAGCATAGTCCCAGCTGTTACGAGGAATCACTGCAAAAGTGGCCTGATTGCCCAGGTTTGGTAGAACTCCCCAGTGCAGAAAAGTTGTGGTGCCCCTGTCTCTAGCCAGAACCCTGTCTCTGAGGCCGCCAGCTGAGAGGGTTGTCCACATGTGCTTCCCAGAGTCCGGGAGGGATGAGAAAATGACCAGAGGGGAAGCCTGCAGGGTGACTTTATGGAGGAACCTGGTGACGCACAGGAAGGGAGCTGTGTTTTTCTTTCCAGGGCTGTTTGAGCCAGAGCAGAGCAGCGCTGGCAGCTCTGGTGACTGTTAGCAGCTGTTGTCAGAATTAACATTGCCACCTCCCAGTCCACACAGTCTCTGTGAAGGTGACAGGAAGGGAATGTGGGAAAGAGTGGTGTGGCCCATGGTGTCATCCTTTCCCTCATCCAGGAGTGTCTGTGGGTAACCAAGGCTGTCCGGTTTGCTGCCCCGTGGAGCCGCACCCTGGGCAGGTGGTGAGGCTGGGGGAAGCATCTAGGACTCCAGAGCTGTCACTGTCTCCCACAGCCGAGCTTCCCATCTCTGCTCCTTTCCACTCCCGTGTCAGACATTTCCTCCAAGTCAGTGTGTCTTTAGGATGCCTGTGGGGCCGTCTCAGGCCTGTCCTCGCTGCACTGTACTTTCAGAATCTTGGAGCTTGTCCATTCTTCTCCTAGGTGCATGCATTAGCAAATATCCGGGAGTAAGTGAGCCTTGGGGCAAAACAGCCAAGGTCCTCAGCTGTATCCTCAGATGGGATGTGCATGTGTCCACTGAACATTTCACTGGGCATGGTGGTGCACACCTGTAATCTCAGCTACTCAAGAGGCTGAGGCAGGAGGATCACAAACTCAGGCCAGCCCAGGCAACTTAGTGAGATCTTGTCTCAAAATAAAATAAAAAACACTGGGGAAATTTCTCAGTGGTAGAGTGCTTGCATAGTATATATGGGATCCTGGTTCAGTCCCTGGGGCTACAAAAAATATAAAAGAAAAAAAAGGTGTTTTATGCACTTCCACTCAAACCAAGAACTGGATCTCAGTGCTTTTAAGCCTGTAAGCTAGTAGAGACTTTGTGTCTGTCCTGCTCTTCACTCAGAGTCTGCCTCCCTTGCTGTAGTGCTCCTGGGAAGGGCTCCTTGGGTGGCAGTTCTGTGGGGTGTCCTGGTGCAGGGTCTACCCACATGTGTGCGCATGTGTATAGTGTCTTCTTGGCTGTCGCACAGAGGGAAAGGGATCATGTCTTAGTTACCTCCTTGTTGCTGGGACAAAATACCTAACCCACAAGTTAAAGGAGGAGAAGTTTATTTTGTCTCACAGTTTGCAGAGGTTTCAGTCCATAGTCAGCTGATTCCAAAGCAAGGCAGAGGGACACGGCAGAGGAGAAACAGTTTATGACAGGGCGGACCAGAAGTAGGAAATAGCTTTCTTTTCCCTTTTATCCCATCCTGGCTATAAGCCTATTTGTTGATGCCACCTGCATCCAGGTTGGGTGTTCCCATTAACCAATCAGGTGGACTAATCCAGTATCACACCCATAATCCAGTATCACACGCCCATGATCCAGCCGCCTCCCAGAAGCCACATCTGTGAGTGCAAGATGCTTTGGGGGGACATCTAGATACAAACCACAACAGAGGAGGGAGAGGGCGGCAAGCTCAGGTGGACATCCATGCTGCCTGTGGTACTGGCCATACTGGCATTGCCAGTGGACGATGCTGCCATGGTCTCAAGCAAAGGCCTCACCCTCCAGCTTCCACTCACGGGAGCCCACCTAGAGTAAGGAAGGGGACCGGGGAGTCGCCCAGCCATCGCCCTGGCTCTGACCTGCAGGCAGGCCTTGGAGGGGTCATCTGGGGCGAGTATGGTCTCTGCCTAGAGGAGCAGGCTCAAGGTGGCTGGGGGCCTCCCACGTGAGGCAGCAGTCCCAGGAGGCGTGGCCTGCACCTTGGGCCCTCTGCGAGCCCTGGCAATCCGAGAGGGGAGGCTGCTGGCCTATGTGCTTGGATGCTACCTGGGGCGTCGTTTGGACTGTTCTTTTCTCCTTTCTCATGTTGCTCCATGGTAGTGCAGCGAGACTGAGCTGTGGGGTGACACCGGGCGGGGACTGCAGTCCTACCTGCGGGGCATCTGCTGCAGGAGCATTGCCAGCCCAGCTTTGTGGCTGGCCGGCTCCTCCTGCAGCCCCGGCCCCCTGCAGACTGCAGATGCGCAGGCGGCTTGGCCTTCTTCAGGGAAGGGCAGAGCTCAGCTGAGGCTCTGGCTCTAGTAAGGCAGCTCTGCCGGCTGCACGCTGGCCTCCTTTTTGGCTTTTGTCTGCTTTTGTTTGGAATGGCTGGAGGACAGGATGCCACAGATGGAGACAAGGCTGCGTGGAGGGGACTCGGCAGAGCGTTCAGGGAAGAAAGTACCGGGGTCAGCTGGGAACAGTGAATGGTCTCTGGGGTTCCGTCCATCCTGCCTGTCAGCCTTCTTAGCAGCAGCAGTCTAGAGAGCTTTTCCTGCATTTGTGAGCATGAGGTTTTAACTCTTTTATGGGGTATGTGTTATTCCCCTCCCTGTGGACGTGTGTGCGTGTGTTTATGTTTGTGCCTCTGAATGTGGTGCATGTCCAGTGCAGGGTGTGTGTGTGTGTGTGTGTGCACGTGTGTGGGTACATTTCTCTGTGTGCATTGGTGTGTGCCCTCTGGCCTGGTAGTGTCCAGGGTGGTCTTGGGGAAGTGGCAGATGTGCTGTCACAGAAGCTGACCAGCACGGTGACACAGCAGGTTGGCTGGGTCCTCCTTTTGAAGTGAGGGGAGGACAGCGGCCGATCGGCTCTATCTCATCCAGTCAGAGCACCCCTCTCCTGGGGAATCTAGCCTGATGCATAGTTGGGCCTGGAGGAGCACGCAGATAGATGAACAGGCTCTTGGGTGGCATGCTGACCTGACGGGCTGATGCTGCGGTGGGGAGAGTGGTGGGTTTGGCGCCCAGGGCCATGGTGCAAGCTGAGAGTGTCACTGGGCTCCTATAGGGCAAGTGTGGTTCCATCTGAGCCACAGGATGTGCCATTTGGGCTGCCTGCTCTGTGACTGCCCTGGGAGCAGCTTTTCTGGGGCTGCCTCAGCAGTACTAAGGTGCTGCCTTCCCTTTCAAAGGGCATGGCCGGCGGGGAGCCCTTGTCCTCCGGACCTGCTTTGTCAGAGCAATGACAGGCGTCAGGGGTGGCTTAGTGAGACACGAATTCAGTAGGACCCGGTCACAGTGGCCACAGACCTCTGGCCCTGTACCTGCATTGATCCTGTTTCAGGGATAAACGCCCAGGCCCGGAGGCTGCAGCGGATCCGTGCCAAGGGAACCCCGGGCCTGGTCCCAGGGGCTGCTGGCAGCTCCCCTCCACCCCGACTGCGTCGCACAGTCAGCGAAACCAGCCTGAGCCCGTCCGCCGCCCTGCCCGAGGCTGCCCAGGGCCCTGAAGAGCCGGCCCGGGACGCCATGCGCTGCTCCCTGTTCCAGGCCCCGCACCTGCTGCTCCTGCAGGGCTACAGCCAGCAACATGTGAGCAGCCCCAGGGTTGTGGCTGGGAGGAAGAGGTGGAGGTGGGGGGAGCAGGGGCAGCAGGAGAAGGGGCACCGACCTGGCCCCAGGCCCTTGTGGAGAGCTGTCCGACCTCCACACTGCTTCTCAGGCCTTCCAGGAAGGGTGCGTGCAGGTTCCCAGGGCGGGGGATGGACCAGCCCGCTCCTTGTCCTCGTGACGGTGGCCGCCAAATCACTACTTGGTGGTGACATTTTTCTGGGTAAGGCTACACTGCCCCCACCAGCCAGAGCCATTTTTTGCTGTTCTGTCTTGTGCCTGGGCTTGAGCTGGCCTTAGCCATCTCCTGCTGTGTGGCATTGCTGCTGTGTGACTTGCTGTCCAGCCTTGTCCCCTGTCCCTTCATCCTTTCCCACTCCGCTGGGTTAGCTGCTGGACTCCAGCCTCAGGAGACACCTGTGGCAGCTGCGTGGTGAAGATGCCCATACACTCTGTGTGGGTGCCCTCAGAGGCTGACCTAGGCCGGGCCTGCCGAGTGCGGGCACAGGCTGAGGCAACCAGGGACGGGTTGGTGCTGCTGCTGGCCTCAGACAGCAGTCCCAGCCGCAGAGTCTGGGACATCCATTCTGTCCTGTCCTCGCCTGTGTGGTATCACAGAGCGGCATCCCCCTGAGTTGTGCTTCTGCTTCTAGGACAGCCTAGTGTACGTGCTCAACCGGGAGCGGCACACAGTGGGCCAGCGCACGCCCTCCAGCAAGCCAAGCATCAGCCTGGCAGCCCCTGACATCCTGCCCCTGCACTGTACCATCCGCCGGTGCCCGGCCCCAGACGGCAGCCCTGAGGCGGCCAGGCTGGTGCTGGAGCCCATCGCTGGGGCGCCTGTGGCCGTCAACTTCTCCACAGTGGGCCGGGGTGCTGTGGTGCTTCGGCACGGTGACCTGCTCTCCCTGGGCCTCTACTACCTGCTGCTCTTCAAGGACCCTGCACAGACCCAGCTGCTGCCCACCGGGGCCCTAGCCCACCTGCGGCCACCACAGAGCTGCAGGACATGTGGTGCTGCGCTCCGGGCCCGCGGTGCCGCCTCCTGCTCGCTGGCTGCTCTTCCCAGGCGGCGGCAGCTGCTCCTGGAGTTTGAGCCTGATGTGGAGGACGCACTGCTGCAGAGGATCATGACGCTGATTGAGCCAGGGGGTGATGACTACAAGCTGACGCCCGCTTTCCTCCTCTGCCTCTGCATCCAGCACTCAGCCACGCACTTCGAGCCCGGCACCTTCGGGCGGCTGCTGCTCAAGATTGCCAGGAAGATCCGCGACACAGTTTGGGTGAGTAACACAGCTGGGGTGCCCTGTGCAGCAGGTCCGCCAGCTGTATCTGCTTGCCCTGGGCATATGACCCGACCCCTTTCAATGCCACACAGTGGTTCCAGAGTGGGTAGAGGGCTGGCCTTCCCCACCTGTCCACCTCCCAGCTCGCAACAGTAGTAGTTTGACATTTCAGGCTGCCTCCAGGGAGGTCTGGCCCTTCAGGGTCCCCCTCACTCTTGCACTCTGGCCTGTATCCCTCCTCCAAGTCCAGGCCGCCTGATGCCGCCACATGTCCCAGTGAGGTGTGCTGGAGCCTGGGCACTTCAGGGAGCTCTCACAGGTGCTTGTTGGCAGGCATGGCACCCTGCATTTTCTATCTCCCGAGCTGTCAGCACTATAGGCCTTTGTCAGCTGTGGTTGACGGTGCTGGGCTGGGTGGCTTTGTCCAGGGCCATGCTCTGTACCTGGCCGGGGTCTCTTGGAGCCCATCGCTGGGGCGCCATGGACCTGTGGGCAGAGAATTCCTCCCTGGAGGACCTCTCCGGGACCGTGTGGGGCAGAGAGCAGCATCCCTGGCTTCCACCCACGAGAGGCTCCACCCTCCTCCAGATACACACTAGGCTTTGCCCTGGGGGGAGGCACTGGCAGTGCCACCCGGTTGGGCAGGGTGAGTGCTGGAGCAGGCAGCCCAGGGAGCCCTGGCCTCGGCCTCCCTGCCAGTCCTTGTCCTCTTGGGAACTCAACTCCCAGGGACCCCAAGGGTGGCTTATCGTTGCTCAGGATTGTTCAGAGACCTTTGCTGATTCTGGTTGTATTTATCCTGGGTATGGTTGCAAAAGGGAGACCTTTATAGGAACCTGATTGATTTCATATTTTATATCTATGTTTAAAATGTTTGAAACTTTTAAAAAACAAAAGCCAGACAGGTTGTCCCATCCCAAGGTTTGTGTGGGTGATCCATAGGCATTAGGGGTACTCAGACCACATCTCCTGGGGCCCCGGGGTTGGTACTTGATATGGGGTCTGCCATAGTGTGGCCCTGTCCGTTCGTTTGTGTCAGGCTGGAATGTCTGCAGCATGGGAACTGCCTGCTTCGCGGCTGCTGTGACCAAGAATGACTTGACGGTTAAAAGTTGTGAATTTTCACGTCATGACCATTTCCTGGGTGTGTTCTGTGCCTGGCACTTACTAGTGAGCTAGATGCTCTCAGATCTAATTAATTCTCCGAGCCACGCTGATGGGATGGATGCCGTGACCCACGTCACAGCTGGGATACTGAGGCCAGGAGGGCCCAAGTCGCTTGCCAAGGCATGTGGTGGCAGGCGGAGGAGCAAGTCTCATCTGGTTCTGAGCGTTGCCCACCAGCACCACTGTGATCCTGTCTGCCACCACTGCGCACCTGGGCCCCTGCCCCGTGTCACAGGCCTGGAAACTGAGGCTGGCCGACGGGAGCTGCTTATTCGAGCCCTCAAGCTGGTGGCCACAAGCATCTGAGTCCAGGGCTCCCTGGGCCCCAGAGTGCTGCCCACTGGGCACCCCTGTAAAGTTCACTCACTCGCTTTGCTTCCTGAGCATAGACAGCTCTTATCCCCACTCTCGCGTCTCCTTATATCTGCCCAGCAGCAAGGCGATGCGCACAGCGTCTTACAGCAACGGGGCAGGAGAACAGCAGCCTCTGAGGTTCCATTCAGCAGATTCTGACGTGCTCCGAGAGCAAGCACAGTTTCTTTATCAGGGGTACAGTGCGGAAAATGTTGGTTAAGCTGGAGTCCCTGTTGAAAAGTTTAAATAGATTTATAAATATTCAAGCATGTATACACCCGCTTGTTATTCTTATGGCTGGCGTTTGAATATGTAAATACTAAGTGTAACAGTGGAGAGTGATAGTATCCCGTTCATTCTAGTGTTTGGGAAATGTTTGTCCCGTCCCTGCTGGTTTTCAATGGCTAGTTGTTCTGTGAGCCAGAGGGCTGTGGGCTGCTTCTATTGGAGGAAATGCTCAGGTCACAGTCAGGAACGGATAGGAAGACGTCGAAGTCCCTGGAAAATGTGCTTTCCACCGGAGCTTACGATAAATAGCACAGCAGGGCTGAGTGAACAGTGTGACGCGCTTCTCACAGAGATGGAATAATGTGTATCTGGATGTGTCCCTGTGTATATTCCTCCTTTTTCTCATTTTTTTTTCCCTTTATAATTGTAGGAGAAAACCAAAGAACTAGCGGAGAAGCAGGCCCAACTGTAAGTATGAGTGTGTTACTGTTCCGCTTCTTACTGAATTCCCATTTCCCGGGGAACCCGGACCCTAAGAGCCTGTAGTCACCTTGGGGTCAGCCCCAACCTCACCCCTGTGTTGCTGTCTCTGAGTCCATTTCCCTCCTCTCCCTGCATCCCCAAGTTCTGGGTGGGAAATTCCCTAGAAGAGCATCCTTAGGACCATGTGGGCAAGGTTGTTGGGGAGCCTCCTGGGCCCCTGGCCCTGGTGGCTGGGTTGAAGTGGCCTGTCCTGTGCCCCCAGGAAAGTGCAGGCCCCAGGCTCCGGGGCAGAGTGTTGCCCTCACCAGCGCCTGCCCCATGGAAGGGCCCTATCTACCCTCCACTGCCAGAGGCGTGTGGCAGGGCTGTCTGGATTATCTGGCAGATGTGCCCGCTGTGTGGACACTGCGGGAATTGCTCTCCCTGGGGTGGCTTGTAAGGACAGCAGTGTCAAGTGTTTACACTGGGGACAAATAGTGTGGGAGGCTGTGAGCTGCACACACCTGCTTGTGCAGTGTCGTGGAAACTAACAGGCTGTTGAAAAGTCCCCCAAAAGCCTGCCTCATGATTCTTTGCACACACATACGAACCTGGGTTCTCAGTGAAGCCACCCATCCAGGAGCCGCACCTGCAGATGACACACTGAAGGCTGGTGAAGGTGGCTGCCGGGAGGGAGGGAGGGAGGGGCTGGGGTCTGTGGTGCACATGTGCTCGCTTCCCGTGCTGGAGTCACCGTCCGCTTCCAAAGTAGGCTTGCAGGGCCCTCAGAGGAGGCCTCTGGCAGACACTGGGCTGGAGCCTGCTGTCCTCGTTGACCAGGTGGACTCTAGCTCAGGACACCTTAGCAATAGATCTCTCTCAGGCGCCTGTCAGTGTCAGGAGGCAGGGTGATATCTGAATACTGCTGTCAGTGTCAGGGGCTCTAGGGTCCCAGGCTCGGGGGGTGGTCCCAGGTGCTGCCTCTCAGCAGGATGGGACAGGACTCTGCAGAAACCAGCCCCAGAGGCAGCACTGGCACAAAAGGACATTAATGAAGGATGGTGGCGGGCAGGGAGGAGCCAGACCATAGGTACCATAGGTACCGGGTGGCGCCTGCGTCCCGCAGAGTTTCTGTGTGAGGGAACTTGGCGGGACAGGACCCAGTGTGGATGCGGGGCCTCTAAAGGGACGCTGTCCCTACTCTGCACCAGGACAGCCCTAGTTCTGGGACCAAGGAGGCAGCAGTGGTGGGAGCACCCCCAGCCCTCCTCCTGCTCCCAAAGGGGCAGGTGCATAAGACTGGAACCTTCTGTCCTGGCGCCTGTGCAGGACCCAGCTTCCCCCAGCAGGAAGAGCCAGGTCTTCCCTTCTGCAGCTGCCTGCTTTTGCTGTGTTTCCAGTCGTTCGTTGTTAGGGCCCAAACACGTTCTGGTTTCCAGCCCTGAGGCAGGCTCACCGCATTTAGTTTTTTCCCTTTTCCTTTTTAAAATAATGAATCACTTCCAAAACAGAACCATGCAGAGAGTACCAGTCACCAGGAACCCATACCTGGGCCCATCGTCATTCACATTTTGCCATATTCCCTTCAGATTTCTGTGTCTGCGTGTTTCTTTTTTATCACATACATGCAAATGACCATGGAATTTCCCTTAACACTCTCTGCATCTGGGGTCTTTGCGTTCTTCCCCCGACTCTCCCTGGGGTTGCTGTGCTCCTGCGCGAAGCCCTTGGTGACTGCTGACTGCTCTGCATGGAACGCTGTGATCTGCTGATGGGGTGGAGGGTTAGTCAGCAGGTGAAATTCCATGTATATGTTGTGTACAGCATGGGCTACAGTGTGGAATGACCAACTCTGATTGGCATCTTGTGCAGATAACATTTAACACCTGCCCGCTCCACAGCCTCCAAGCCTACGATGTTAGTATTGCTATCACCCACAGGCCGAGCCTCTTACAATAGACCTCTTGCCCTATTCCCTGCTCCAGCCCTGGTTCCCACTATGCTACCCCCACTTCTAGGTGGTCAGCCTCTTAGCTTCCGCATCCAGCCGAGGTCTTTCTGCACCTCACTTATGTGCACACCTCCTCTGGGCTCATCCGCAGGGTGGGAGGGCAGATCTTCCTCCTCTGTGTAGCTGACTGCTGTAAGTGGTCCGTGCGTGCCGCGTGTTCTTCATCTGTCCATTCACTGCTGGGCACCCGGTTTGCTCTGCATCTGGGTGGTTGTGAGTGGTGCTGCTGTGAACGTGGCAGTGCAGTCACCGTGCCCTCATTCTGATGGCGTCTCCTGTGGGTCTATGCAGGAGGGGGACTGCCGTACCTACAGCAGCTCTATGGCCTCTTCCTCCTGTGCTGGGGTTTCACACTGAGCTACATCCGCAGCCCTTCCGCATTTTTATGTTGAGACAGGGTCTCACTAAGCCGCAAAGGTGGTATCCAGGCCGGGCTTGAACTTGTGATCGTCCTGGTCAGCCTCCCAGAGCGCTGGGGTCACAGGCTGTGCCACCGCGCCCGCTGGCTCTAGGTGTAGTTGTCGAGACTCTTCTGAAGTTTCCCCCGTGGCTGTGCTTATTCCCCAATCCAAGCCCAGGGCTCCCGTCATCCGGCACCTGTGTCCCCGTGGTTTTGAGAAGAGCCTTCCCCGTAGGCACCAGGCAACACGGCCTCATAGCTTTGAATGACTTGTATTTCCCTCGTGAGTAGTGGTGTCTGCAGTTGGTGTTTTAATTAGGAGTGTCCCATCTGAATTACCGGTGAAATTAGTCTGTGAGTCTGAGAGTTGTGATCAAAACGCACGGTGAATGTTTTGAACACTTCAGTGTATTACAATAAAGACACTTTGACGTTACTGTAGTTCCCCTCAGAGCCCTCCCCTCATTTTGATCCCTCTTATCTCATTGTTCTGGCCATTTTCTGCAGCACTTCTGGAAGTCTTTAGTTGTGCTGTTGTGGCTGCCTTCATGTCCTGAGTCAATTCAGAGCGTTTCCTTTTCGAGGTCGTCTGGCTTTGGGGAGGAGCCAGAAGTCACATGGTGCCAGATCCTGTGAACAAGGTGGGTGAGGACTCACTGTCATGTTTTCCGAGCCGCCTTTCCTTTGGATGGCCCTGGGCAGCAGCATGCACCGCATATTTGATCACACCTTGTAAAGACTTTCAGGAAAGTGGATTTCCAGAACTACTTCAGAAAGTGGCAAGCACAATGGGATAAGTGTGTTTGAAGGGTATTTTGAGGGGGATTCATGGCAATGTGTCTTTTTACTGCGATGAATTTATTTTGTTTAATGCACTGCGTACTGTGATCACCCCGTGAATGTTTGTGCATCATCCTGTTCTGGCTCAGTGACAGGCTCACAGAATGAGTGCTGCAGTCCTCTGCATAGCTCTCAGAGGCCAGAACCTGCATCTCGGCTTGTTCAACTAGGCTGTGAGGACTGGAGCCAATTCTTTTTTTTTTTGTTTTTGGTCTTTTTGAGACAGGGTCTCACTATGCAGTTCAAGCTGACCTTCAACTCACTTTATATCCCAGGCTGGCCTCGAACTCACAGCAACACTCCTGTCTCAGCCTCCTGAGTGCCAGTATTACAGATGTGTGCCACCATGCCTACCTGAAGCCAATTCTTTAATGATTGGTTTACTTTTCTGTTTCTTCTTTGGTAACTTTTATTTTCCTGCAAAAGTTACTGAGATAAAAGTGTTATATTTTCTTACAGCTTTTCATCTCAATATATTTGTAGTTTTATTTCATTTAATTCCTGTTGTGTTTCTACCTTTTTTCTCTTTTTCTGCCATCTCTGAGTTTCCTTCCTCAGGATTGGCCTATTAGCTGTTTTAAGGAAGCAGGTTCATTTTTTTCTGTTCACTTTTTTATTTCTATTCCCAGGGGCCTCTTTATTCCCTTATTTTTGTATAGTTTCAGTTGTAATTTCTTCTTTGATTCATGAATTGTTTTGCAAGTTTTTTGAGCTTCTGAGTGCATGTGGTTTCTGCCGCCATGTTTTTACTTTTCATCTTGTTACCTTTTGATAGGAAGATGTGTTTTGGAAGATTTTGGGGTTTTGCTGTTGTGACTCCTTTACTGGCTAGTTTGTGATCAATGTTGTGAGCATTCTATTTGTACTTCTTTTTGTCTCGAGTCCAGGGTATGTTTATGAGATCAAGTTTATTATTTGTTTAACTCCATTAACTTTTGGGGGGTTCTGTTTAAGCTCCCCTTTGGAGAAAATGTTACCATGTCCCTTATTATTGTGGATTTGTCAACTTCTCTTAAAAGTTCATCTTATTTTGTTTTATTTTTGTCACTACTTTGCAGCAAGGCTGGTACAGCTTTAAGAGTATCCTTTAAAACTGTTTCTTTTAAAGCCCTGTCCTTTTTTCCTATAATTCTTACTGCCCTAGCCTCCCTCCCCCGCGTGTTAATACTCCTTCCCTTCATTTATTTACTGTTTGCCTGGTAAATCCTTTCGGAAAGCCTTTACTTTCAGCCTTTTTATGTCCTTTTTATTTTTTGAAAGCAGTTGTTTGTCCAGCCTGCTTATCTTTGTTCATGGAAAAGCTTGGTCCATTTGTTTTGATTGCAGTTACTGGTGTATCGGAATCCGCACTGTCTGTGCTTTGCTTCTGTTTACCATGCCTCTCCTGTGTCTTCCATATTTCCCCATCGCATGGGGTTTTAGACACTCCCCCTGTGGATTCAGGGTTCCTCCTAAAATACTGAGCTCCCTTCTTGCTTGAACAGTAGATCTGAGCGGGCTCGGCCCACCCTGTCCTGGCTGTCGCTCCAGTGCCTGTGCTGCCATGTGAGCGCTGCCTTCTCTGCAGCCCCGGGTGCCCCGCCATCCTGTTTGTGTTTGGATTTATGCTCTGTGCTTCTTCTCACTCACCCAAGTGCTTCTGCTCCCTGGTGCCGTACTCCCTATCATTATCTCTTAGTCCCTGTGTGGATTGTCCTCCCTGTGTGACCGAGTCACCGGGGTCTCTTGGTGCCCCGCCGGTGGCTGCCCCTTGGACGTGGTGCTGGGACACACTCTTTCGGCCCTTGAAGATGTGCTTCCGTTGCCCTTAGCGCCTTACCTTGTTGCGAAGTGTCACGTGAGCTGCCTTCGTGCTGCTGCGCATGTTGCCCTCCTGCCTCTGCGGGGCTGCAGGGCTGCTCTCCCTGCCCCAGTCCCCAGGGGCACCCAGCAGTTCATGTTCAGTATTCTGGCAAAGTGGCAAATATTCAGAAGTGTTTTTGGCAATATGGGGGATTGAACCCATGGCCTCTGCACTGAGCTGCAACCCAGCATTTTAAAGTTTTTTTTATTAATTTTGAAACAGAGTCTGGCTAAATTCCTACAGAGCTGGGATTATAGGTGTACACTATCATGCTCCATTTGTGTAATAAATAATTCCTGTGTGTGCACACAGAGGCTTGGAATCCTTCATCCCAAGCCTTTGGGCTGGGTGTATTGGGCTTCAGAATATTCTGGAATTTGGGAAGATTACACAGTGGGCATGCTGGGTACCACAGGGCACCCACAACCAGGCAGTGGCCTGCACACAAGACAGGCGTCCCGAAGACCAGACGGCTCATGGAGGCCCCGCCTGGGGTGAGATTGCTTCACGTGACGGGGTGCAGGCTCCGTGTGGGGTGGGTCGCGCCCTGCCACGGCGCCTCTACCCGTTCTGCCTGGCAGGCCCCCCTGCAGTACCGAGTCTCCCTCTTATTGTGGCACCTTCGCTTTGCTGTCACAGACAGCTGCCTCTTCTGCTCCAGGAAGAAGGAAGCAACACTCTCTGTCTTGAGTGGCTGCCTTGCCTCACTCCCCACTGCCCGCCTCCATTCTGCGCCTCGTGTCGCATTGCTGCCTCTGTTCTCCGTGTGCCTTGTCCCCAAACTCTGCAGCCTGGTGCCCTCCACCCCTGCCCATTAACCCTGCCACCTGTGGTCTGAGCAAGGACCCAGGAAGTGTCTGCTCCTCTTGGCCATGTCCTCATATGCCACTGGGTGTGGGACACCGTCCTCCTCTGTTCAGTGTCCCTGAGGTGCTCTTGCCTGTCTTCTGTCCCTGTCCTTGCCTGGTGGCTGTCCTTCCCAAGCTCTGCCTGGCCTCCATCTGTCTCCTCTCTGCCTCCGTCCATGTCCCCAGGAGACCCCTGTCCACTCTGTCCCTCTGCCTTTGCCCCCTCTTCTCTCTGGTCAGCGTTGGCTCTCCTGGGCTGCTTGTCCACACAGTGATTCCCTCTCTGGTCCTCATGCCGGCATCTCCCCAGGCCCCTCGGCCCATCCACTCTCGCTACCGTCCAGCCCTCCTCCCCTGCAGGTGAGCTCCTCCGCACTGTCCTCTTCCCACGTGGTCCTCCGACAGGACTATGGCAGGACCGTGTGCTTGCTGTGAAGACAAAAGTGACACACAGACACTGTCGTAGGAAACCCCGCCCCCCAGAGCCGAGGCCCTGCTGACACCTCGCTGCCCTGGGAATCTTTCACTCCCTCCCTCCCTCCCTCTCTCCCTCGCTCAGTTTCAGCAAACCAGCTCCAGGCCTTCGTGGCCTCCTTTCCCTTCAGGCCTGCTTTTGCCCCTTGCGCCTGATGGGCTTGGGTGGGGTGGGCTGGGTTTCCTGGCGTCCACCCAGGGGCTCTTGGTGTGTGGCCGGCTGGCAGCTGTCATGTGCTAGATGCTGACCCCGCTCGGTTTAACACTGAGCTCCAGGTGGCGGAGCCTGGTGGTTTATTTTCCAGCTGAAGCCTCTGTGTGCCTTTGAGTTCAGGGGTGAAATTGAGAAGGGTGACACATGTTGGAAACAAAGTAGAGTCAGCTCTGGAGAGCCAGATTAATCCTTTCCCCGCAACGCACAGCTCCATGCCTGCTGCATACCTGCTTTGTGCTTGAGTGTGATCCAGACCTTATTGGGAAGGACTTTGGAAAGAGCAAGGGGCCAGAGTGGCTGCAGAAAAGACTGTCTTAAACTGTCTTCTCCCTGCTGGGGAGCAGGACAGAGAAGGTCAGCATTGTCTTTGGACAAAAGTGACATTACATCAGAGAAGACAGGTGACACCTCAGGTCCCGGGAGAATCTGGGGCAGAGGGAGAAAGTCCGAACCCCAGCCCTTCTCTGACCGCTTGCAGACCAGCTGCACACAGTCCTAGCGGCACGCTGCTCCGGGAGCCTGGCCCGAGCGTCCGCGTCGTCCATCTGACTCACAGCCTTCCCCCTTCCCCCTGTGGGTACAGGCGGCTGACAGCCCCTTGCCTGCCCCTTAGAATGCCCTAGAGAGGGCCAGAGCCACAAGGGTCCTGGGCCAGCCACGTAACAGGTAGCAGGATGCCCTGCTTGCCCAGGGCCAGTCTGCGTCGAATCTGAGGGAAACGCCTGCTGCCCGCTTGGGGTGCACACCTGTTTGGGATGCTCAGCAGTGTCCAGTGGATGTGACTGGGACAGACGTGGCACTTGCGCTGCTGAGAGCCCTAGGAGGCCCTCGAAGCCGGTCCAGGGCGTCAGTGAGCTGAGGGTGATGGCAGAGATGTGTGTGGCATTTTAAACTGCGGAATTACTGCCTCCACCCCATGGGCATCCAGGGCCCATTCAGGACAGTCACTGGGGGTTCTTGGCCACTCAGAGGGTGACTGACACCCCTACGCTGGTGCTGACAGACGCAGGAGAGATGGTAGTGGTGGTGGGTGTGGGGGCTGCCAGTCGAGGGAGACAGGAGCCCCAGTGTGTCACTGTCCCCTGCAAAGGCAGCCCTTTGTGGTGAGGCATCAGGCGTGCGAGGGAAGGAGCCCCACCCAGGCTGGCCACGAGGGTCTGAGCTGCTTAGGGCTGTACTCTAGGTGCTTGGCACCTGTAGCACTGAGTGGGAGCTGCTGGTTATATTAAGTGGAGTAACAGTGCCCCCTGTGGATGAAGAACCAAACTGCAGGAGCGTTTGTGGTGGGAACGCTGCACACTGCCCAACTCTCCTGCAGATCTCAGAAGTTTCTTTGGCTAACAGTGCCCATGCTGGGCTTTCTGATGAGCCCTCCTGAAACTTCCAAGAACAAGCTTTGGTCGCTGCCCCTTGATTCGTCAGCTTCACAACCTTCTGATTCTGCTCTGATGGGGGGGGGGATTTTGCTAGTATTTGTGCACCTCTCAAACCTATTACTGTGCATTTCCTCTGCTAATTATCTGTTCACCTAAGTAACACACAGAAGCTCCTATTTCTGGCTCTTAGCACATTTGAACTCTTGTTTTCTCGTGTAAAAGCCATGGCCCTCACCTTCCATGTGCACGATGCACATGCGTGCCCACACATGCCCTCCATTCGAATCTGCAGCTACTGTATTATCTAATTTCAAAAGAGAAGCTGTGGAAGTGGTTTATTTACCAGAGTCCATTCCTGGTGGCCGTGGTGACTGGCTGTCCTTCCCACTGGGCCTGTTGGAGCCTCTGATGTCTTGTGGGCAGATGCCAAGTGGGTGCATGCATAATTCCTAACCTCCAGCCTAACGTGGATAGTGACAACAGTGGTTGTTTTTGTCCCTATTCCATGGGTACGAGCATTCTCCCAAGACAGAGGTGCAGACTGAACCCCCAGGTCGTGGGCCAAGCATAACTGCGTCTTTCTGTCTTGGTAGCCAGGAACCCATCTCCTGGGCCAGCTTCACCATGGCTGACCTAGTTCCAGATCTGCAGCACATTCTTTTCTGGATGTCTAACTCCATCGAGCTCCTGTACTTTATCCAGCAGAAATGCCCACTCTACATGCAGAGCATGGAAGAGGAGCTGGATGTCACAGGTACAGCCTGACTGGCGCTCCCCGGCAAGGTGCTGTCCTCGGGCACAGTTGGCCGGTCGTGACAGAGGGTTGGGTTCCAGCCTGGGCTTCCTTGGTGCCAGGCTCCGTGTGGGCAGCAATCTGGGGACAGCCTGTGAGACCAGGCCTGGCATTTGAGCCAAACTGACGCCTCTGTGCCCAGCACACTGGTGCTCTGCCGTGGAGGCAGCTTGACCGCAGCCTGCTCGGTTCTTCTTACCACAGGCTGGGGACATGCAGGACCCTTGGTGCCTCATAGACAGATGCCATGCTCAGAGAGGCACCATGGTTCTGGAAAGGACTGGAAGATTGTAGACTGAGTCATGTTTAGGGGTTAACATGTGGGAAATGTGCGCATAGGATTTAGGAATCACAGTGGAAAGTGTCCTGCAAACACCAGCTGGGAAGACGCTCTGTGGGGTGGAGTGGGGCCAGGCCCTGGGCAGGCAGACTTTAGCTGGCAGCGGTCACCTGACAGCCGTTGGAGGTTGGAGCTGACCTGGGAGTTTCTGTACAGAGCCGGGGACCAGCAGTAGGGCCAGTGCTCTGACGTGGGTCCCAGGACAGAGCCTCCAGTGGGTGGTCCTGGCGTTGTCCCACACAGCCGCGTCTGGCTGTGGCTGACAGAGTGCTCGCCGCCCTCACATTGGCGGGGCTCTGGGCTGCTTCAGCCGGGCTGGGGTCTGTGGGGGGCTGAGCAGGTGTGGCTTGGTGGCCTTGTTTCTGCGGGGCCCAGGCTATGGTGGAGAGTGCGTTGGGAGTCCCCTCAGGCCTGTGGCCCAGCTGGGAGGCACTGGGGTGGGGGCTGGGAGGTGTCCCTGGCTGTGGTCCCCCAGATACTGCGTCTTCTTGGAAGTACCTGTGGGCTGCATCAGAAAGAGACCCCAGGAAGCAAAGCCAGCCTGGGGTCCCAGCAGGCTGCACCCAGTGGTTCTGGGCCCTGTGGCCCCCGTGGTGCCTCATGGGCAGCTGTCCCGAGAGGAGAGCTCTTGACTGGTGACCAGAGAGATCAGGGCATCTGTGGTCCCCTCTGCAAGACAGGCTCCTGTTCTGCTTCAGGGGCCTGCAGCTGAACTGGATGCTGAGACCAGATGGGACCGCGGACCGGGCATCCTGTGCAGGCTGGGTGGGTGGAGGGGCCGGGCTCTGGACATGGGGGCGGGCAAGGGAGGTTTGCTTGCTCTCTAGCTCAGGGTGGGGGAGGTGGGCCCCTCTGTGGGCTCCCAGGGCCTCAGGACTCTGGCCTCTGTGGATGTGTGGAGGGAAGCTTGCCCCCGACGTGGACCCTTCCTCATCCGTGGGGCCTTCCGGGCCATGCCCTGTCCCTTGTACCCTCAGGTGCACTTGAAGAGTAGCCAGTTTGACTGCCGAAAAGGGGCATCACCCCTGCTGGCTTAGGTCTCCAGAGCAAGGGCACCTCACCTGCCCGTTGGCCACAGAGTTCTGGTGTCCAGTGGCCCTTGCTGCCTGCCCCAGTCAATTCCTGCTTCCTTCTCCTTCCCTAATGCCTGGTTCTGCTTCCAACTGTGCGGGGAGTGTGGGGGGTGCCTCCTGGGGGGCGGGTTCTGCTGCCCTTCTTGTGTATGTGGTGGGGCTGGGGGTGGGGCGGTCCCTTTTGTTCTGGCTCCCACGGAGAGCTGGCTCAGGAGCTGCCTCACCCACCTGTGCAAGGTGAGAGGTCCCTCTGCGCGGCAGTCTAGGCCTGTGCTGAGTCCTGCTCTGGTCCAGGGACCCTCTCCCTGCTTTGAGGGTTGCGAGACCATCACCTGCATCTCAAGGAGGAAGTTGTTGCTGGTCTGTCAGGCCTGGAGCTGGGACACTGGGCCCAGGGATGTGTTTGAGCTGGACCCAGGAGCCTCACTGCCCAGGATCTGACTCAGGAGAAGTCACACCAACCTGATGACCAGGAAGGGGTCCGAGGCCACCGATCAGCCTACCGAACTTGTGCAGGAAATGACTGTGGGACACATTCTGCCATTAGGCAGAATATGTCCTGAGAGCTGGCACAATCACCTTTGTCACCCTGATTTTGTGTCTGAGCTCTCAACCAGGAGTCCCACTGCGCAGCTGTCAGGGACAGGCACACATAGCATCCACTCAGGATCCCACATGCTCTCTCTGCCTGTGGCTTAGCACCTGGACCTGCAGCAGGTGGGGGGCACCCTGTCCTAGGGCTCTGGATCCTTGCAGAGGTCCCCACGGGAGAAGCAGCTCAAGTGGTCGCCCGCGGCATCAGCCCTGTGGTGTCTGGGGGAGCCTATTCCGAGGCTTCATCCTGCCGCCGTGGCCCGCCGCCTGCTTCCTGCCAGCTCATCACATACCCGGGCCCGCATGGGGGCATGGGGCGGGGTGCTGGGGAGAGTGCTGGGCAAGTGCTGGGTCAGGTCCCTGCTCTTTGTGGCAGTCCATGAGCGCGGAGCCCGGTGACACTCAGCGGCGATCCCCCTGCAGGCTCCAAGGAGTCGCTGTTCTCCTGCACACTGACGGCCAGCGAGGAGGCCATGGCAGCGCTGGAGGAGGTGGTGCTCTACGCCTTCCAGCAGTGTGTGTACTACCTCTCCAAGGTGCGGCCGGGCGCTTCCAGGGACCCGGTGTGCTCCCTCGCTCCACCCTCCCCCGGGTCACTCTTCTCCCCTGGCAGAAACCCGGGCGCCATCTGGCCTCTTCCTTTCTTTTGAGAAGCCCTGGGTGGGGCACACGGGACCCCGTACTGCTGCCACCTTGACCCCAGTTAGTGCTAGTAGCGCTGCTGCTGGCCCGTGTCCTGAGACACATGCAGTGCTTTGGGAGTGCGGGGCGCACCTTTCCACAGGGTGCTTTCAGACCCCCTGTGGGGACCCATCCCACCAGGGCCACTTTCATGCACCACCCTGACAGGAACATGTGCCACGTATGGCCGAGGCCAGCCCTCCTGAGCCCACTGTGCCCGCCTGGGCTCCCGCCTTGGGGGCAGCTCCCTCGGGGCTTGGCCTGCAGACCTTCCTGCCAAGGCAGGGCCGGGGCTTGCTGGTGGGTCCTTCAGCTGGTCCCAGAGCCCCTAAAGTGTTGGGATCTCTTTGCCTCACAGTGCCTGTACGTCTGCCTCCCTGCCCTCCTGGAGTGCCCCCCATTCCAGACGGAGCGCCGGGAGAGCTGGCATGGGAGCCCTGCGCTGCCCGAGGAACTGCGCCGCGTCGTGGCCGTGTACCAGGCTGCCCTGGATCTCCTGCGACAGCTTCGGGTGCACCCTGAGGTGGCCTCCCAGATGCTCGCTTACCTCTTCTTCTTCTCAGGCACGCTGCTGCTCAACCAGCTCCTGGACAGGGGTGAGCATGGCCACGTGCGGCCGGGACCTGTGCCTGTTGGTGGTGCCCGGCTCCGCTCTTGGGGCCTGCTCTGCCTCGCTTGGGGCCGTGGCTGGCTGTGGTGGTGTGGGCAGGCAGCAGGCTGAGGCCAGGTAGGACCTGTGACCAGAGGGGACTAAATCTGTGCTGCTGCCAAGGCCTTGCCCTTAGACCCTGCCTGGCTGAGCTGGTGTCCTCTGTACCTGCTGGGCTCGGAGCACCGGTTACTTCCGACCAGGGCCACTGCTGGGGGCACCAAGAGGTCTGCTCAGGACGAGCCCCAGCATGCCCGAGTTGCTAGCACAGGCAAGGTGGCAGTGGGGCAAGGCCTGTCTGCTGAGGCCTGCACTTTGGAGCCGGGGCAGTCACACCCCTCCTGCCCTGAGCACTGCCTCCATCACCCCCAACCCCAGGAAGGGCCTGGGAATTTGAGGCAGCATCTCAGGTGTGCTTGAGCTGTGTTGTCCTCAGTGGCCTGGGAGGGGAGAATAGGCTCTGGGGAGCCCAGTGCTGGGCTCCTGTGCAGGGGGCTGGGTGTCACCTCCCTCTCCCCTTCCCCTCCCCAGGCCCCTCCCTGAGTTGCTTCCACTGGCCCAGAGGTGTCCAGGCCTGCAGCCGCCTGCAGCAGCTCCTGGAGTGGGCGAGGAGCGTCGGCCTGGGGGCGGCCGGGGAGCGCTTCTTCCGGAAGCTGTCCTGCACCCTGCACCTGCTGGCCACCCCCAGCGCCCAGCTTGTCCAGGTGGGGATATCACAGCAGCATGGGGAGGGATGAGGCCACATGGTGTCCTGGACTTGCAAACTGGGTCAAGGGTGGCCGGGAACCTTGCTTTCCAGGCCCAGAAAACTAGGTTGTTCCCTTGAAAGCTTGCAAGATTGTCCCCATCTGCAGCAGGCAGGCTAGTGGCCCCAAAAGTGTCCGTGTCCAGCCCCTGGGCCTTGTGACTGTCACTGTGCATGGCAGAGGGGACCCCACGGAATCTTAAGTGGAGGGTGGCTCTGGGTCCTGCGGGTGGGCTCAGGCTAATCCGGCAAGTCCGCAGGGTGGGCCAGAGATGGAGGGCAGGAGAAGAGGGACCTGTCCCCAGTGGCTGGATCTGAGGAAGGAGGGGCTGGGAGCCTGGGGGCCCAGCTGGCACCCGGCACAGAAGCGTGACTTCAGCCACAGGAAGGGACCAGAAGGGCAGGAAGTGGATCCTTCCGCAGAGCTCCAGGAGACTCCCTGCTTCGGACACCTTGATTTCCACGCAGGGAGCCCCACGCCTGCGAGGTTACACACCCAAGGCGCTCACCCCAGGCCAGCGGGCATCCGTTCCAGCAACAGGAAGTTAATGCACATCTTAACCGCCCTTCCTCGCCACTCACCAGCCACTGACCCTGAGAAACACCGTTGCAGATAATGAATGGAAATCCAGCTGGGGCTTCTTTTCCTTCCTGGAAGGCATCAAACAAGCTCCTGGCTGCTAGTGGGCACCCATAGGACAGCGCATGATGATGCCCGCTCCTGGAGCTATACTGAGTGTACAGTGTGGCACCATGCCCGAGCAGACTCTGGCATAGCCGGGCTACCGGGGAGAGTGAGCTCTGCTGCCTGAGGACCGGTACACGCAGCATCTTGCCTGCATGTCCTGTTGGTGAGCACAGCGTCCACGTCCCATTGTCTCACGTAATCCTTGCAGCCATCCACCAGCAGGCAGCCTTGCGGCTGTGTCAGGACAGTATCGCAGTGCTGAGGTTAGGGTCTGCATGCAGGAGACCTCCAGGCATGATCACCGGGCTCCCCGTCGGAGCTGGGCCCTGCTCACCACTGGCCAGGCCTGATGTGTTCACCCCATCTCTGTCAGGGTGGTCAGGGGCCGTGAAGATCAGAACCTGGAGCCCTGGGGGCCAAAGTCAAAGCAGCGCTCAGTGGAAAACAAAGTGAGGGCGCCTGATCAGGAAACAAGAAAGCAGATCCGCAGAAAGCAGAAGAGAGGAAGTGATGGATCGGAGCAAAAGATGAGTGAAACAGCAGGCTTACGGTAGAGGAAAGCAATAAAACGAAGAGTGTTTTTTTGAAACCTTTTATAAAAAAATGGGAGAAGACACAAACTGCAAGTATTAGTGCAAAAGGGGATACCACTCAGAGCCTACATTAAAAATTAGTATGAAGAGAATATTATAATTATCGTAATAAGTTTATGCTAATAAATGTGACAATTTAGATGAAATGGACTAATAAAGAAATGAGTACTAATGAAAACTAACACAAGAGGAAATAAAAATCAGAGTAGTCCTATGCATTAAAGAAATTGAATCTTTAAAAACTCTTCTGTACCTGGTAAGGCACGCTGGTAATCCTAGCTGCTCCAAAAGCTGAGGCAGGAGGATCTCAAGTTCCAGCCCAGCCTGCTCGGCAACTCAGTGACACCCTGTCTGGACAAAAAAGGAGGGTTGGGGATGTAGCTCAGCATGAAGGCTGTCAAAAAATAAAAATAAATACCATTCTTAGCTTGAGGGTTCTGTGGCTTCTGGTCACTGCTGAGTACCCCTGAAACAGATTATTCAAGGAGATGAAACTTTATTACAAAATTGTCCTTATAAAAATAAAGAGAAGTATTCATAAATAATAATGAGTCTATAAATATGAAAAAATGGTGATTGTTGGAAATTAAAACTATGGAGGGAGAAGGGAAAACCCAAAGGCAGACGATAAAGCCCAGGAAATGCAGAGTGGAGAGGCGAGGCCAGAGAGAGTGCACAGGGCACTCAAGGGAGACCAGGTGGGGGTCTGCTCTGCTGGGTCCCTCTCTGACACCGACAGTATTCTTGGAACTCACAGCATCAAAAAGAACCCCCCCTCAAGGCCCCCTGAACTGGCATGAGGGTGAGGGGCAGAAGCCTCAGCAGGAATATGCACTTCTGGGTCAGCAGCCCAAGACACTGACAGTCCCTGCAGTGCAGATGTGTGATGACCGTGGCCCAGGCCTCCAGACGTCAGTGGAAAAGCAAGCAAGAGTGAAATAGGAAGAGGAGAAGAAAAGAAAGCTAACGTTAGGACAGCGATCGGAGGAGCCCGGGCAGTGAGCAGGCAGCTTGGGAGACCATTCCACAGCTGGAGCTTGACCCAGACCGCGTCACAGAGCAACTTCCAGAGCAGGACGGGGATGAGACACGACCCAGAGAGGAGCCACCTGAGCCACAGTCTGCAGGCCAAGGAGCTGCCCCCAGAACGCCAGTGCCCACAGCTGCTCACCCACCGGGCCAGGACGGGCCGTGTTCCAGCACGCCCTACCACGGCCTTGTCGTGAGGCTGGAGCTCCTCCTGCAAACAGCGGGAGGAGTGGGCCCCGGAGAGGAAAGGAGGAGCCCTGCTGGAGATGAGAAGGGATTTTGCAGTGACTGTGCCCAAGGCCCAGGGGCCACAGAAGTGCTAGGCTTGGTTTTGTCAGGGGAGTCCACCACTTCCCAAGGACTTAACACCTTTTTTTGTCTTAAGAAACTGCTCCCCCCCCCAAAAAAAGAAAGTGCTCTCAGCCAGGCGCATGGTGCAGGCCTGTACTGCCAAGCCTCAGTAGTAATCCCAGCACTCAGGAGGCTGAGGCAGGAGGATCATTGCAAGTTCAAGACCAGCCTGGGCTACAAAGTGAGCTGAAGGCCAGCCTGAAGTGCATGGCGAGACCCTGTCTCAAAAAAAAAAAAAAGGAAAGAAAAAAAAGAAAGCTCTCCCAGCCAGGCACATGGTGCAGGCCTGTAATCCCAGAATTCTGGGAGGTTGAGGCAGGAGGATCATGAGTTGCAGCTAGCCTGGCCAACTTAGTAAGACCCTGTTTCAAAGTGAAAAATAAGCAAAAAGGTTTGGGATACAGCTCAGTGCAAAGATCCTGGGTTCAATCTCTAGTACTACAGTGAACAACAGCAACAACAAAAAGACCTCCCTTACCCTGAGCTTGCAGTCAAAAGTCAGTCCCACTTCCGAGCTGAGTGATTTCTGTTCTGCCTTTCACATGTCTTGACCCCTTGATTTCTTTTACATGGTGTGAGTTAGGGATCTGACTTTATTTCCCCCAGCTTGCCAGCAGTCCCTGATCTGGACTTGGAGCCAAGGGAGGTAGCTCCTGGCTGGCGTGGAGGGTGTTTGGGGTGGTGATTGTGGTGCTGTCCCCTGAGTGACCGCTGCTTCCCGCACAGCCCCCTGGTGGCATGTGAGACCTGGGGCTGTGTGTTCCCTGGGAGCCCTGCCCTGTGCTGTGACCCTCCCTGGGGTCGGGGCTGTGCTGGGCACCCTGTGCACCTGGAGGCCTCTGACCCCAAGCTCCTCCTTGCTTCCAGATGAGCTGGGCCACCCTGCGGGCCACATTCCCCGCCCTGAGCCCAGCACAGCTGCACCGGCTGCTGACCCAGTACCAGCTGGCCTCGGCCATGGGCCCCATGAGCGCTTGGGAGCCCGGAGCCCAGGACTGCCCCGATGCCTTCCAGTCAGGTGAGGCTGCCAGAGGCAGGGGGCAGGGGGCTGAGGCCCAGGTGAGACCACTGTCCCCAGGCTGAGGGCGGCTGCGCTGCCACTGCCTGCCCCTCTAAGTTGGGAGGGTGTGCCTCCAGCACCGGGGGCCTGCCCTGCCCCAGGATCCTTGCTCCAGCTCCCCACCCCAGCTCAGGCCCGAGGTCCCCGTGCCCTCCTGGCACCTTGGGCCGGGGGCACTGCACAGTTGCATGCGGGCACATACACATCTGACCCACACACCTCCTCTGTGGGCACCGTGCATACTGCAGCATGTAAACAAAACATGGTCAAGGGGGTGGGAGATGCTTCTCCCCAGCCCTTCCCCATTCAGCCATTGGCATCTGGGGCCTGCACACGTCCTGCTCCATGCCAGGAGATCAGTGGGGAGGTCACCTCGGGGGCCTCTGCCACCGGGGAGGTGCTGTGGTGCTGTCGTGGACAGAGCCCAGCCTGCACGCAGCCTAATGATTGTGGCCACTCGTGTAGATACGGGCTCACTGTGGGCCCTCAGCGCCCAGGGACCTCGCCCCGCCCAGTCAGGCGAGCTGCTCACCGCGGCTCCATGGGATGTACCGAGTCCCACGTGGCAAAGGCCTGGTCCGCACCCTGGGGCGCTTGGACACCCTGCTAGTGGGAGGTCATTAAGGGTGGAGAAAGGATGAGAGCCGGGTTGGGGTTGGTCGCCCTGGTGGGACCCCATCTCCCAGGGCCCGGGGAGGTCAGGCCCAGAGCTCAGCCTGTTGGTCCAGGTCCCACACGCCAGGTGGGGGGCTGGCTGGAGGAGCGGGCCGGTCACTGCACCCTCACTCCTTCCCCTGCAGAGCACGTCCTGGAGTCCTACGAAAAGCCCCCGCCCATCGTCCTGCCCAGTGAGGGCTTCCAGGTGGACCTGGAGGCCGACTGCCCAGATGACGGAGTCTACCAGCACCTGCTGTATATCCGCCACTTCCTGTGGGGCCTGCGTGGCCCAGCCAGTCCTGGCCGCGGGCCCACCCAGCTGGCCAACCTTGAGGTAGGGGCCAGGAGGCGGGGGAGGGACCTGGTCCCACAGCTGTCATGTGGCGTTAGGGTGGAAACAGGCACAGGGCTGCCTGGCCCTGGAGACAGCCAGCATGAGCCATCTCAGCCCAGCGCTGCAGATGGCAGGGACACCTGCCGGGTTCTCCCACATTTTTCGTGGTGTAGACTAGCAAGTGTCCTTTGGCTGTTGGCCCTGGGACCCTGTCTCTTCCTGGTAGGCACCCTAGCCACCTGGCCTGACCCTTTGCTTCTCTCCCCGCAGGGCCTGTATCACACCATCCCTGAGGGGCACCTGGAGGGCCAGGGCTGCTCCCTCGCTACCAGGGACCCCAGCGGAGGAGTCCTTGAAACCGCCTCTGCACACTCTGTTCCTGGTGCCGGGGCTCCTGGGGCACAAGATCCCCCAGGGGGATGGCAGCCTGGCCGAGGGGGCCACAGGAACTCCCAGGCTGGCCTCGTGCACACTGACTCCTCCTGCCTTCTCACACCTCCGGGAACCCCGCTAGGCCTCGAGCCTGGGGGCCCTAGCTGGCCTGAGCCTGGCGGCCCCTGTGGGAAGATGCTTCCGGAAGGGCAAAGGAATGGGCTGGCTCCCGGGGGTGCAGCTCTAGAAGGTGAGGCCCAGCCCTGTGCGTGCCCTTTGCCTTGGGGTATTTCCATCTTGGGGCCCTAGGTGTCTGCAGCCTCTGCCCAGTGCAGCGACAGTGGAGCTCAGAGGGGGAGGTAAGGGAGGTCTTGCTCCTGGGTAAAGGGGACTGAGACTCAGTGGGCTCTGCAGCAGGTAGAGGGCGTCTCGCAGGTGACGGGCTGTGGCCAGCAGGTGTGTGCTGGGAGTCTGGGAAAGCTGGGAGGAGAGGGGGTAACCACATGTGGGCCTAGGTATGTGCTGTACACGTGTATCCATAGCCAGGCCCAGGGAGGAGCGCAGCACTGGGTCCTCCTTGCTCGGGCTGAGCTTGAGGGTCCCTGAGCGCTGGGATCCCCTGGCAGAGCCTGGCTGGGGTAGCTACCTGCACAGGTGTGCTCCTGACTAGGCCCTGGCGGGCATGAGCGCCATGGAGAGAGAGGCCTGGCCTGTGGGTGGGCGTGGCTGGGTTGCGGACAGGGTGTGATCAGTGTGGGAACCTTAGGAAAGGCGAGCTTGGAGCCACAGGGAGGGTGGGGAGGAAGAATAGGAGGAAGGGGCAGAAGTAAAGAGACCAGTGAGGCTCTGCTGGGACACATAGGAGCAGGGGAGGGCCGCTGTCCTGGTACAGCTGTGGGGAGGACGAGGTCCCTCTTGCAGACATACTGTGTGCGGCCAGCAGGTGGACCCGACCTGAACCCTGGCTGCCGTCCAGTCTGCTCTCCTGTGTCCTGACTTCTGGGGTGGGCACTGGTCTCCAGTCCTGTGGCCCCTCATGCCCCTGCACCCCTCCCTGCCCACTCAGGAGACACAGTGGCCCCCGTGGACGAGTCTCCTCTGGACCCCTCAAGTGGCAGCTCCAGCACTGAGGACTTCTGCTACGTCTTCTCTGTGGAGCTGGAGAGAGGCCCCTTGGGGCTGGGCATGGGCCTCATCGACGGCATGGTGAGTGGCCCGGGCCTCCCCTGCCCACCCCAAAGCCGTGGGCTGCCGCTGCCCTTCCTGTCCAGCCTGGTCACAGCTTGTGCAGCTAGGTGCCATGGCCTTGCCAGGGGAGGAGACCATGGCTGTGGAGGGTCCTTCTGGTCCTACAGCTGCCCTGCTTGCTCACCTGGCCTTCAAGGTCTGTCCCAGCCTTTGGGGGCAGCGCTGGGCCCAGTTCTTGTGAGACATCTGATACTCATACTGAATAAACAGTCTGCACTGGGACTGGGACCTGCAGGTGCTGAGGCGGGGGCTGCGGGTCCTTGCTGGAGACATCGGGTGTCAGCATCCTCTGCTTCTCCCCAGCACACGGCCCTGGGTGCGCCGGGGCTCTACATCCAGACCCTGCTCCCAGGCAGCCCTGCAGCAGCTGATGGGCGACTGTCACTGGGAGACCGGATCCTGGAGGCAAACGGCACCAGCCTGATGGGTGTGAGCTACATGAGGTACCACTGCTCCCACCCATCCCGGGCACCCTCAGGAGGGCAGGGCTCGCCCTGTTCCTCGAGGTCCCTGAGTAGGAGGGAGTCTGATTTGTCCTGGCCTTGGGGCACGCGCGCTCAGGGTCTCCATATCACCCTCCCGCCTTGGTTGGTTTCAGAGCTGTGGACCTGATCCGACACGGGGGCAAGAAGATGCGGTTTTTGGTTGCCAAGTCTGATGTGGAAACAGCCAAGAAAATCCGCTACCGCACGCCCCCACCGTAGGTGGGGCTCAGGACCCCACCCCCAGCACCTTGCTCCGCCAGGCGCCCCCCAGTTCTTTCAAGCTGTCCATCACCGAGTTTCAAATCGCCAGTGAGTTCCTGTGTGGCGGCCTCACTAGGACACGCCTGTCCTTCTTGTACATCTCATTGTATATTTTATTTATATGACAGAGGACACTAAGTGGTAATGTTTCTTACAGAGTTTTTATGTGTAAAGACTTTAACAGAGAAGTATAGATTCAATAAACGATCTTTCCTATCCTCCTGGGGGCAGTGGTGGGCTCTGCCATTTGCAGCCTGGCATTTCTGTAGTCCTGCACAGCCTCTCCTCCCCGCACTCCCGCGTTAGCACAGTAGAAACGCTACATGGCCCTGTCCTCTCCCTGTCCAGAGGCAGAATGAAGACCATAGTTCTCTTGCAGCCAAAAGGGCAGAGCCACCAAGCAGGGCAGCTCCACCTTCTAGCTGCCTGGCTCAGCATGCCATGTACCCAGAACACGGCTCTGGAGCGCCCAGGAAGGCTGGAAGGGGACTGGCTGAGCTGCAGTGTTGCTGAGGACCAGGCCACCCTGTGCACGGCTGCCCCGCCCTTTTCTCTGAGCACCAAAGCCAGCGGCTTGGCCCTAATACCAGGCACTTAATCTGTAGCTGTCGTACACCTAGTCGCTGTCTCCTCACCCTGGCAGGCTGCCAGCCTAACAGGGCAGGGCAAAGGCCAGGGGTTGTTGGCATCATGGGGCCAGCGGGGCCAGCACACCTCTGTGCTCGGCCAGACTACAGCCTGGCACGTGCCAGGCACCTCAAGCAGGTCCCGCAGCTCCACGGCCTGGGTATAGGGGACTTACGTGTCTCGCTATGCACAGAACAGTGGCCAGGACAGGAACGGAAACCCTAGGGACAGGGACTAGTGGGGTCCCAGCCTGTCCGCTGCAGAGGACACGTCATGTGAAAAGGGGACACCTGGAGGGCCCGGAGCCCAGGAGCAGTGTCCTGAGTGGGCCCCAGTTGCAGCCTCATGGGCTCCGTGCTGCCCCCTGCTGAACATGCAGGGAGGTGCAGGGCATCTGCTCCAGGCCCTTTGTCAGTGCTGCCACTGCTTGCAAGCATGGGCCTTTCAATGGGGTTGAACGGGTGGCTCCCCACCAGCTGCCTAACATGCTAGGTAAAGTATATTTTTATTTTTTTATTTTTATTTTTTTTTGTGGTTTTTCTCCGGTACCGGGAACTGAACTCACGACCTTGCGCTTGCCAGGCAGGCGCTTTTGCCGCTGAGCTAAATCCCCAGCCCCCGGTAAAGCATATTTTTAAAAAGTCATTTAAGTGCATGGTTGGCCCTAAAAGAAAAAAAATCCTTAGAGCCCAAAACTGAAATGAGGGTCTAAGTTCCGAGAAGCTGCACACAGGGTGGCAGGTCGCTGGCCCAGCCCTTCAGTCCTCTGCTTCAGTGATTGTGGAGAGGTGGCAGAGTCTTAGCCGCCCCAAGCTAGCAGGCAGACTTCATCGAGGGACCCGGTTAAATGCTGAGGGACCTCAGTACTCCAGAGCTCCTAAAGAGCTGGACAACGGGCTAGGGAATAGTCACATAACCACGGTATTATGTAGACCTTACTTACTACATACCAGGCCCCTTGGGCGCACATGGGCATGGCCTGTGTAACTCACAAGACCGTTTCCAGATGAGGAGGCAAAGCAGAGAGAGACTGATTTATATGGCAGTCAGCCGGCACCATAGTGTGCTGGGGGGAAGTCACAGGAGTGATCCTGAAAGCCAAAGCATTTCTCCCCACTCAGCTCTGCCACAGCTGGTGCCCGCAGGTGCGACTGCAGCTGGTGGTGAGCTCTGTGGCTCTGAGTGAGCTCTCCTGCCCTCCTTGGTCCCACAGACCAGCCGTACCCTGGTCTCATAACAACAGCACACAAGCAGGGGACAAGCTGGGCCAGGAGCACACTCCCACCTCTGTCACCTCTGTACTGCCCTGCTAGCCAGACAAGTCATACAGCCAGTCCCGAAGCCATAGCCAAGTATGCATTTATGATGCTTCTCTAGGTGAAGGACTACTTGGGAGGCTGAGGCAGGAGGACTGCAAGTTTGAGGCCAGCTTGGGCAACATGTGAAACCCCCATCTCAAAAAAACAAAAAGGGCTAGGGATGTAGCTCAGTGTAGATCCTGGGTTCAAGTCCCAGTACCACCCCCAAAAAAGTCAGATAAAAGATTAAGTATTTTAGACAGATGAAAAGATACTGAGCTGGAAGAGAGAGTTGGAAGTTTGTCAGAAAACATGAAAATAAAAGGTGAGAGACGCAGAACAAGAAGGTGCACCTTATGTTAGCTGGAGTCCTGGAAGGACACAGGGAAAATAGGGGAAGAGCACTACAAAGAGAGAATGGCTGAGAATTGAGAAAAGGCCCACATCCTCAGTGAGTGCCAGGATCAGTCAAGTGAGTACACCTTTAAGTGCATTATGGTGAAGCTACAGAGTGCAGAGACAGAGGTGGTCTGAAGATCGGCCAGGGAGCAGGACAGAGCTCCGGAAAAGACGCCTCAGCTGGCTGCCGGCCTCCAGAGTAGAGGTGGGACCGCACACAGGATGGTCTCTTCAGACGGCCAGGAAAAACGCAGTCCAGTCTTTCAAGAAAAAGGATAAGTCTAAAATACTTTTCAGACAAGCACAAACCAGAGTTTATTACTGAGACACTGAAGAGATGTGTACAAGTTGTGCTTCAAGGGGAGAAGTGTGTCTGATGTGTTGCAGAAAACAGACCAAACACAGGAAAAACAGCACTGAGAAGGGGAGGAGGCAGTTTATTACCCAGCGGCTTCTGGCTAGGATCTCTCCCCAAGAGTCAGAGCCCTGCCCAGCAGGGCTTTGGGGCTTTTAAAGGGAAAGTCAGCGGGGAGGTTCAAAAGCAGAGTCACCACATATGACTGGAGGGCTGGGTGACATCTTGGGTTGCTACAGGAGCTCAAGCATTTCAGGTTACATCTCAAAGCTCCCAGTTATACAAAGCATGGGTAATACAAAGGAAGAGATGTCCCGTTACATTTTAAGTTACATTGTAAGGCCATCAGCTATACAAAGGCAGCAGGGACAAAGGAAGAAATGCTATCGGACCTGCTGGACATGTCTGCTTGGTCTTGGCGGGCATCCTGGTCAGGCTTTTATTTAAAATTTTAATTTCCCCTTCAATAGAAGGTCTGAGACCCAAGAGTATATGGTAAGCAAATAAACAGATATAAGGAAATAGTAAACCACTATGGAAAGCAACAGTAATATCTAACTTCGGAGGATTTAAGTGCAAAGGCAGCGGGGCAGTCCAGGTCACTAACTGCATGTGAGCCAGGAGGAGGAGTGACAGGGAAAAGCTAAGGGTCTCGCATTATCTTAGGGAATACTAATGATATTGGTTAGCTTTAGCCAAGGCTTGGTTAGCCTTGGTTAACAGTGGGTGCTGACATCTCAAGTGTAGACACTAGAAGACTAGAAAGAGGATTCAACTTTCAAACTAAGAGAGGAAACATGATATAGTAAGAAAAACAAAAACCCGGAGGCAGAAAGGGAGAAAACCCCTCAAAAAGAACACGAATAGAAAAGTAGCACTAGATAAGATAGTAGAAATTTGTCCAGAATTATCAGTAATACTATATGTAAATGGACTCTAACGTTAAAAAGACAAAGGGATTGTCAAGCTAGATGAAATCTAGGTACATAATATTTATGAGGCAAATGTAAAATGTAAGAATGCATAAAAGTTAAATGTAAAAGGATGGACAAAGATATATCAGATGTACAAGGTAATTAAAAGTTCATCAGAAAGATGAAACAGTTCTAAACCCGGGCGCACCTAATAACATTTTCTCAAAATATATAAAACAAAGGCCAGACGAAGACAAGAATTGAATCCACTATGATAAAGGGCCTTAGCATGAATCTCTCAGTAATACGTAAATCCAGCAGTCAGAAATCAATTCAAACATATGAATGGACAAGAGACAGCATCCTTTCTGAACCTTTTGGAAATGTGGTTCTAATTTTTTTAGCCCAACAATAAATAAATGGATTAATACTGAGCATGCTGGTGCTAAGTGCTGCAGAGGAGAATCAATGTAGAGCAGACAAGATGGTATGTGCAGGTGGAGACGGAGGGGGGCGGGCAGTGTGGGTGTTGTTTAATATACAGCATGTGGGCGAGCCTCATGAGCAAAGTGTCACTCATGGAAGGGTCTGCTGTGAGGATCAGCTGTATGCCTACCTAGGGGATAGCTCTTCCACTGGGAGCAACAAACACAGGACTTGGGCGGGGAGCATACATGCCTGGGAGAGGAAGGGACACCAGTGTGGTGGAAGCAGTCGGTGGGAAGTTGCAGGCACTCAGGCCAGACGGAGGCCCAAGTCACGCACAGCTGGGGGCTGTTCTGGGGACTTTGGATTTTAGTCTAGGTCAGACAGGACTATTACTAGAAGAGTTACAAGACCTCACTAAATTTTAATAGAGTTAGTTTGGCTGTCATGTGAGAGACCAGGACAGAAGCGGGCGCATCCACTGGGAGGTTATCTTGGTGATGCAGGCAACAGATGCTAGCGCTGGGAGCCGGCTGCTGTCAGCTCTGACGGGTGGGACAGCCACATGGATGCCACGGAGCGAGGGAGTCAACACAGCATCTGAATAGAGAGAAAATCGGGCCTAAAAGGTTGACTGCAGTGTGATACTATTTTATAATGCTAAAGATAAATCAAAGGGAAAACTGTATCTGGAGGGATCCCCACTTATGTGGGAGCAGGGACTCTTACATTTCAAGAAAGCCCTTCAGGAGGGCGACTCAGGATTTAGAAAGGGAGTGGGGAAAAGAAGGCAGCAGCACACAGGCAGATGTGCGGTCACCAGGTCTCCAGTCCTGACACCGGGGGTGGGGGTGGGGGGTGGGTGGGTTCATCATGTTGTTTCACCTGCTGACTAATAAAGACAAGGGAGCTCGGCACACATCAGAGATGAGCCCAGGGTTGGCTCCATGTTCACCACTTAGTTTGTGAGCAGCCCTGGGTTTGAGCCTCAGCATCAGAAAACAAAGACCAAGCCAGTCCTGGTGGTGCACGCCTGTAGTCTCAGCACTCGGGAAGCTGAGGCAGGAGGATCACTGTGAATTTGAGGCCAGCCTGAACTACATAGTGAGACCCTGTCTCAAACAAAACATGAAAACAAAACCCAAACATGAACTAAAACAACAGAAACAGAGCAGGCCACGCATCAAGGATTATCATGAATTTAGTTTCATATATGAGTACAGCTAAGCCAACCAGAACTTCTAGAAATGAAAACAATGCTTATTGAAAATTGGCAACAGTTTTACTGGTGTCTTAGTTACTTTACTCCTTGCTGAGACAATACCCAACACCCACAGTTAAAGGAAGAATCATTTACTTACTTCAGTCCATAATGGGCAGGCTCCAAGGCAGGGTGACCTCACAGAAGACAGCCTTTCACGGCAGCAGAAGACAGCAGAAGCACCGAGGGAAGAGGAGGGAAACAAGCCTCTTTCTGCCCCTTTTATTTTATCCAGACTGCTGGGATTAGGGCAGTCCCAATCCAGAGTGGACTGATCTAGCAATCGCCCTCAATCCCAGCACCCTTAGTCCTAGCACTGAACCATGAATCATACACAAACTACATTCAGCTACCTCCCCAAAAGCCCCATCTAAAAAGCAGGAGGCGGGGCTGGGGATTTAGCTCAGCGGCAAAGCGCCTGCCTGGCAAGCGCAAGGTCGTGAGTTCGGTTCCTGGTACCAGAGAAAAAGCAAAAAAAAAAATAAAAATAAAAAATAAAAAAAAATAAAAATAAAAAGCAGGAGGCTTTGGGAGGACATCTAGACACAAACCCTAACAACGGGTATATAATTCACACTACGTATGATCTGCCAAGTTACATCACACAGCTCCATGGGTGTTAGTATATAGAGCTGTGCAACCTTCACAACAGTCTAGTCAGTCACTGAAATTTTAGGAATCAACAAAGTATTAAATAGACAATTAGATACAGAAGGAGAGAGGATTAGTGAACTGGAAAAAAGTCTGATTTAGCCAGAATTAAACCCAGAGATAAAAAGGTGGAGCCATTTAAGAGACATGAGGTTTGAAGACCTCATACAGTATTTTAAAAAATCCCAGTATTTTTGAAAATCACCACTACTGTTGCTTTTAGATAGGAAAGTTTAACAGACCAGACACCCAAGCTTCAACATTCCAACTTGCACTTTGAGAACTCAGATTTTATCACTGGCAGCAGACTCTCGGTTCTCTTCCTTGAAGTGACTTCATTCATTTCCTATCAGATACCGCCAGCTACCCATCTGGACAGCCTGTGGTTCTTCAAAATGAAAGTGGTGTTTGCTCTCAAAAGTGAGAGCTTCGGCTCACAGCCCGAACCTTGTTGCTGGCCAGGGCAGGCTCCGTGCTCTGGGGAGCCACGGCTTCTATTTTAAGCCAGTACTTCTCCGTTTCGACGGACATACCGCGTGAGGCTGCACGCTGTGAACCGTGTGGAAGTGAAGAACAGACCCTGGCACAGGCTGGTGCCACCCCCCATTGCTTTCTGACCAGGCTGAGCCGTAAGAGTCAAACACTCAGCACCATTTCCGCGTGGTGCTTGGCGTCCAGTTTTCGCAGAACAATCCAAGACCCTGGCGCTGAGAAGGAATATTCAGCAGCCGCATGCGGCCCGCCAACACCTGTGAGCCAGAAGCCCAGGGTGGTTGTGCCTCCAGCCAGGCGAGGTCAGGGAGAGACTGGGCCTCACTCGGCAGAGCCGAGTCCTGGGAAAGGAAGAGGCCATTGCCTGCGGCCCACCTGCCAAGGCCTGGCCCCGCTCTCCCCCACCTCCACGCCACCTGTGGTGAAGTGGAAGGCGGAGCACATGCGGGTGTAACTCAGGACACTCCCACTGCCTTTTCCCACCCAATGATGAGCTATTTCTCATCAATTTGTTTTTGGTACCACAAATCGAACTCAGGACCTTGTGTTTACCAGGCAGGCGCTTATGCCTGAGCCACATCCCTGGCCCTGACGAGTTATGTCTGCATCACGCTGGCTTCCCAGCTGTTCTGGAGGCTGGGGCAGGACTGAGTTGGAGGTCAACCTGGGCAACTTAGCTGAGACCCTGTCTCATCACAAACGTGGCATGCCTCTAATCCCAGCCTCTGGGAAGCTGAAGCAGATCAAAACTTCGAGCCCAGTGATGTGTCAAGACTCTGCCTCAAAAAACGGGCTGGGGCTAGCTCAGCCGTAGAGCGCCCCAGAGCTGGACCCATGCTGGTCCGGATGAGGGATGCCCCGTCCCAGTGAAGGAGTGGGAAGGAACCAGGCCTGGCCCTGCCATGCCCAGCGCTGCCATCCATGGGATCCCTGGCTCTCTCCCCAGCATGCAGGCAGAGAGAAGAGACCTGACTATGCACAAGAGTTTGTAAGGAGCTTTATTTTTATTACATCTCTCCCTGCCCCAGAACTGTCCAGAAATAAGGAACAGCAGGACACGGCTTGGCTTCCATCCAGCCTGAGAAAAGGCCAAGGCCATCCATCAGCTCCTCCAAGGGGCAGCTCAGCGGAGCCCCGGGGCAGGGTTAGAAGACAAAGCCCAGAAAGCTGGAAAGAGGACAGGCTGAGGCGTCCCTCAGGGTCGAGCCCTCTCTTCTCTCCCAGGGGGGCCCCTGCTGCTCCATTCCTCGCTGATCACCAAAGCCGGTGGCTCAGACCCAGTATCAGGCTGGCGGCCCCAGGCCCTTATCTATGGCTGGAATCCACCTGGTCAGTGTCCACTGGGTCATGGTCCAGTCACCCTGGCAAGAAGCCGGCCTCCCTCTCCACGAATCGGGTGACTGTGCGCAGGGCCAGGGGCAGGGCCGTGTTGGTGTCACAGTGGTAGCGGGGCTGGCACACCTCTGCACTTGGCGAGAGCACAAACTGGGCCACGCTGGGCATCTTGAGCAGGTTCCTCAGCTCTGTGGCCCGTGTGCGGATGGCTTCTGCGTCCTCCTCACTGTGCACAGAGCTGGTGGCTGGGCTCTGGCCCAGGGTCCTCATCTTCGACAGGAACAGAGAGACCCTGGGGACGGGGTGGTGAGGGAGATCCAGCCCATCCGCTCACAGTGCCCCTCATACAGAAAGTGCCCCTCATACAGTCTGTGTGAAGGGGCCCAGTCCCGCAGAGCATCCAGCTAGCCTGGCTTCAGCTCAGTGCCCACTGCCCACTGCCCAGCCCGCTCCCATGGCCCACGCTGCCGTGTCTGGCCAGAACCCTTGTGCTGCTGAGGCCAGTTCATGACGGGCCCAGGGAAGACCTCAGAAGCTTCCCCATGGAAAGTGGGGCTCCCCTCTCAGTGCCCTGACTCGGTACCTGGGGATGAGGTCCTGGCTCCGGGAGGCCAGCTTGGTCAGCGTAGTCATGAGCACTGTGATGACCTGGGGTGGACACCGGGGTGTGCTGGCCAAGGGGCGGGACTGGGTGACCTCAAACAGCAAGGCCTCCAGGGCCTCAAAGAACTTGTTGATCAGCTCCACAGTGCATCGTCTGTCACAGGCCACTGACAGGTACTCGCCGATGGCCCACACCTAGGTCAGGAGAGCAGCTCAGTGTGCCCAGGCCCTGTGCTGTGGGACGCAGGAGGGCTAATGCCACTCACCACGCAGATGAACATGCCCGCTCTGCTGTGGATGCTGCTCACGCTGCCCACAAGCTCCAGGAGCTCCCTCGCCAGCTCCAGCACCAGGGATGGCTTCTGCTTGCACAGGGCCAGGAACCAGGAGCTTAGCACCCTGCCGAGAGTGGAGCTCACTGAGCACGATCTGCGAGGCTGAGGGCCCAGCTGAGAGCCTGCGCAGGCTGACGGCTGATGCTCATCCTGATGGTCCCCAGCCGGGGAGGGCTGCTGGCTCACCAGGGACAAGGCTGATCTGTGCCGTCCTCGGTCCCAGGCTGAGGACAAGCCTGTGTGGATCAGGCGTTTAGGACAGAACAGGACAGGAAAGTGTGGAAGAGGGCCTTAGCCAGCCCTGAGGACAAGAGCACACTCTGGACTGAGGGGAGCCCTGGGGCCGGGCCCTGGGCTGACCTGAAAGCAGCAGGAGGGAGATGGCTGGGGGCAGCCGGGAAAGGGGACAGTGCTGAGGGTCCTGGCCTGTGCTGGGCACTGGTGCACCTGGTTGGCTGCAGGTGGCAAGAACCCACCTGTGCACATGGGCCTCGTACTGTGGGACCTGGTAGAGTGCATTGCTTCTCTCTAGGATCAGCAGCGCCAGCTGGTTGGTCAGGGCCCCGTCAGCAACCTGGTGGACAAGGGCAACAGATGGACTCTCAGTCCACCTAACCCCAAATGTCACTATCTTCTGCAGCCCTTGGGGAGATGAGGCCAATATGGGATGAGCGAGTGGCTGAGGGGCTACAAAACTCCTCATCCTCCCCCTCTGGAGCTCGGGGACAGGGGGAGGAAGCCCCACTTCTGCTCTGTGGCTCCCTCTTGCAGCTTTCTCAGTATCACTGGGCCAAAAGTGCTTCTGGCCCCACAGTGGATCAGCTGTGACCTCATGAGGACATGGGAAGTTCCCTAGGTGCCACCAGGCAGGAACCACAGGGCCAGAGGAATGTGGAGGGCCCAGGCCACACTTCAGTGTCACTAGCTTGTGTCCCGTCCTGAGGATGAGGCTGTGGTGTGTGGCACTTTCCCCGTCTCCCCGAGCCACGGACAGTGTGCAGGACTGGCCTTCCGCAGAGGTCAAGGGCAGTGCCATGGTCCCTGCTCTGAGCCAGGCTCCCTGGCTGTGTGAGGTGCCTCGGGCACAAGGCATGGCTAGCCAGCTCACCTGGGTCACGGCAGAGAAGAAGGCCTGGAGCAGGGTCGGCACCGCCTGGGCACACTGGGCCACCCGGGCACAGCTGGCCATGGGCTGCAGCAGCTGATAGAGTGGCATCAGCCTGGGGACACAAAGAGCCACCAAGTGTCCTCATACTTACCCCACCTGTGATCCCACAGCCAACCGGAGAGAAGGGAACGGCACCATGGCTATCAGCAGTTCCCCTCACCAGCATTGTTCACTTGCACCAGGGACTACAGGCTCCCAAGGGGCTCAGTGGAACCCAGGGGACAGGCAGGTGTGGGCTGCACGCTGAGTGCAGGGCCACATGCCATCCCCACCCTCCAGTTTCCTGGGTGTCCTTGTTTCTTCCTCTGTAAAGTTCTGTGCAGGGTCTGAGGCTTGCCGGGCAGGTGGAAGCACTGCACACATACTCTTTACCCAGCAGACGAAACCATGTGACCACAGCTGCCTCCCAGGCCTGGGATGGGGACAGTCCTGCGCACCCAGGCCTCAATATGGACCCTGCAGCAAGCCCCAGGCTGGTGACAGCGGCCTGGCTCACTGTCACGCCTGTGGCCCCAGCCCCAGGGCCCTAACCTCTCTGTGGAGCCGCTGGCCTTGGTGCGCAGCAGGTGTTGGAAGAGAAGCTGGAACTGCGGGTCCCGGAAGGCCTCCAGGCAGCCAGGGGTCCTGAGGGAGGTGTCCCAGAGCGGCCTTTCAGATGGCATCTGTGATGACCTGTGGGTGGGACAGAGGCCCAAGCTCTATGGGGACACAGCTTCTGGCATCCGACCCTAAGGCATCCACTGCTCAGGGAAACATCACTGCAACATCACGGTCCTCGGGGGCCAGGGAAGGGTCTTGCGGCAGGGCCTGAGAGAGGCCCCCCTGCTGCGCTCAGGACAGGCCGAGGTACAGGGATCAGGGGCTGCCCTCGGGGGGGCAGTGAACACCTCAGACATGGGCTCTGCCTCGGGCAGCTCTGCGGGCCACATATAGCAGGTGCAGGGTTGGGCACGGTGAGGAGGGCAGCCCACCTGAGCTGCAGGTCCAGGGCGGCTGTCAGGCAGGGCAGGTCCAGCAGGGAGTGCAGCATCTCCACAGCCGTGCTGGCGTCCACCAGAGCAGGGAGGAGCGCCACGAACTCGGCAGTGAGGGGCGGGCTGTTCCAAGCCAGGAACTGCGGAGACAGAGAGCGGCTCAGAGCCCACGAACGTGGGACTCAGCCCGGTCTGTGCGTCTTTCCTGCTTCCTGTGCCCACGGAGTCCAACACAGTCCCTCCCGTTGCTTCTCCTTTGTTTTCACAAAATTTTGGCCACCCTGGTGCCAACAAACTGATCATTTCTTGCTCGTTATTTTTTTCCTCTAGAAAAAGGACTATGAGACATGATCAAAAATAAGGTGAATGTTAAATTTTTTTAAAATTACAATAAAAGAAGCAGTGCTATTAATCCCTCTAAAATCTCCCTCACTTCAAACTCACTGACCCCACTGTTCTCGCCACTTCTGGAAACATTCCAGGAGTCCTCTTTTATCTTTAGCTGCACTGTTGTGGCTGCCTTAATGTCCTGAATGTACTCACGATCATTTTGACTTTGGGGAAGAGCCAGAAGCAGCACAGTGCCGGATCTGGAGGCTAAGGTGCCTGAGGGCTCACTGGGATATGCTTACACCCTGCCTTTCCTTTGGATGGCACCTGGCAGTGGCTTTCACTGCGTATTTGATCACCCGTCACAAAGACGCTAGGGAAAGAAGGCTTCCAGAACTGCCCCGGAGATGCAAGAACAACAGGGTCAGTGTGTTTGGAGCAAGAGGAGGGAGTCTGAGGGGGATACATGGCAATGTATCTTTCACTACAATAATTTTTTTTCCAAATTTAAACACTTGTATATTTTGATCACACTTTGTGCGTCTCCAAGAGGGTTTAAGAAGCCGTGCATGAGTAAAACGTGCCAGACCGGCGCTGAAGGCTGAATGCATACTCTGGTTTCTCTTCGGGTTGTACAGATCCTTCACTTCTTACTGAAGGCTGAATGTGCCAAGCCAGGCCTCCCCCAGCCAGCCAACCTACACAAAGTTTCCAAGGACAAGCCCCGGGTCGGGCCGAGTGCCTCCTGCGCCCACAGACACTCCTGCGCCCTCGCTCCTCCCCCTGCACCCCGTGTCCCATCCCTGCCCACGCCCCAGAGGACAACCACACAGACCTTAAAAAGGTTAGGAAAGCTCAGCTTCAAAAGGCCAAGGAGGTGAGGGTCGAACAGGGCAAGGTTGTCCCGGCAGAAGCGGGCGACCTCAAAGGCCAGCATGGGGCTATGGAAGCGCTCTGAAGGGAGCCTGCTGAAGAGGTGCTGGTAGATGGCTTCTGCGTCCACGGCAGCTGCTGCCCCTGAAAGCCAGGGGCCAGACCATCAGGGCAGTAGGCAGGAAACCCTGCTGTAGAAACTATTTTTTTTTTTTCAGGACTGGAGAATTGAACCCAGGTCTTTATACTGAGCTACATCCTAGCCCTTTATTTATGTTTTATTTTGAGACAGGGTCTAGTCTCCCTAAGTCACTAACTTACCCAGGCTGGTCTAAACTTGACATCCTCCTGCATCAGCCTCCCAGTGTTGGGGATGCACGACCATGCCCTTGCAGTGAGACAGTGCATCTCTGCTAGTCAAGCCTCACTCCCTGGTGTCTTGGCCAAGTTCCCATGGCCATCTGTGCCTCTAGGACACCACAGACCTCTAGAAATGCTCCCGACTGTAAGATCTAGTTGAGCTGGACTCAGCCACAGATCAGGTGCGCCAGAACACAGACCTGGGAAACACGCTTAGGAAGGTGTCAGCTCCTTCACTTTTGGGTTTCATGGGTCAAAGATGCAGCGAGGAGCATTCTCAGCCTGACATAAAGTTCACCACATTTTGTTTCTCTGTTTAATGCACATGTGAGGGTAACAACTGCCCAGAGCTAACCGCACGGGGAGAAATGACAGGGGTCATTCCCTCGGGAGGAGTTCTGCTAGCTGAGTGCACCCGTCCCGGGCACCAGGCTCACCGTGGTTGAGGAAGAACTGGGCGAGCGGCAGCAGTGCCCGCTCACTGCCTGGGTCTGTGCCCAGCTGCCCGTGCAGCGCCTTGAGGCAGGAAAGGCTGCGGTACAGGAAGGAGGGGTCCTGCCGGCACACTGTGTCCAGCACTCGCACAGCTTCCACCAGGCACTGCGGGGACAGGGCTGGCATCAGAGGGGCTGAACACTGCCCTGTCCCTGCCACCCTGCCCTGGCCACTTACTGCTTTCTGCAGGTCGGAGTCCCCTTTCCTCAGGGCTCCTGGGGGCAGGAAAAAGCCAGCTATCGCTCTCTACCCAGCCACCAAACAGCCCCAGGAGAAGGTAGCCTGTTCTGGAAACTGGAGGCGGAAAGAGGAAGAGGATGGACGGGAGAGGGTACCAGGTGGGGCCGGGTGTGCACAGGATATGGCAGGACGCAGCAGGGCCTGTGAGTAGGGGTACAGGTCGGGCCTGCTGTTGGAGTCATCCTGGGAATGGAGGCTTCCATCCTGAACAAGCTACTAGGAACTTTTTCTGCTTCAGAGCAGGAGCTAAGCAAGGTCTGCTGCTTAGGTCTCCACCTTGTGGGATGGACCTGGGGCACAGCACCGATGCCAGTTTGGGGACTTACGCCGGTTACTCTGCTCGATGAGGCGCTGGCAGTATTCAAAGGCCACCTTCCTTAGACGCTCCTGCGGGAGCAGCTGGCGGCCAGCAGAGGCAGCAGAGAGCACGGAGAGAGTGGAGCCCTCCAGCTCAGACCTGTCCTCTGTGGGACAAGAGGGGCTCAGCAGGGCCGCCTGTGACCCTAGAGCCAGCCACCCACAGCCGCTCTGTGGACAGACAGGAAGGGAACTGGACCCGCTGCGGCCAGGTCCCAAAGAGCACAGGGCCCTGGGGCCTGGCCACTGTGCCTGGCAGTCTTCCCCCAACTGTGGGCCTAAGTCCAGTTCCCTCTATACAGCCATGGGGTCTCGGCTGCCAGTGGCTTTTTCTATAAACCAAGAGTTTGCAGATGAGGGGGCACTCAGTGAGGCTGTCCCAAACATTTGCCTCAAACGCCCCCTCTGTGCACACCTCAGGAGGGTCACCAGCACGTTATGTCTAAAGAGGCCTCAGGTGCAGACTGAGGCTTGGCCCAGGAGGCCAGCAGTGCAGGGTAAGGTCTTCAGCTTGGGCCTGAGCAGCAGGCCTCTGTGGGTCACTGCCTAGCTATGTGACCCCATGGTGAGCTGCACCCTACCCTGGGCCCACCTGCCTCCCACCCTGTGACCTGGCGCACCTGCATCCGGGGTGCCTGCGCCCTCGGGGCTGCTGAGTAGCAGCCATGCCTGCAGCATAGAGAAGGCCTGCACATTCAGCCACTGGTCCTCCGTGAAGTGCTGGCCCATGGACAGCACCGTGAAGAAGTCCGAGGCCACTGCCCCGTCCACCTCGGTGATGGGGCCTGGCTGTGGGAGGAGGGAGAGGCGGGGCTGCAGGTTCCTGGGGCCAAGGCTGACAGGCTCAACAGCTACTCAGGAGGGTGGAGGGGTCCCCGGTCCAGTCTGACCCAGGGGTGGCAGCCCAGAGACCAGCACTTTCTGCCCTGTTCACTGCCTTCCAGATTCAGGAGGCCAGGGCCACCCCAGGACATGGAGACAGCATATCAACCCCAGATCACATGTCAGCTACACGCCCTGCAACCATGCAGGCCACGAGTGTCAACCACACAGCCCCAGGGCCACACGACGAGGGACGCTGCTGGCACCAGATGGAAAGTCGGTTTGGGATTTCTGCTCACCGAGGGCTGGAAGCAGCCTGACTCACCTGCCGTGCCCTGGGTGTGGAGAAGAAGCCCCCAGAGTGCAGGGCCCCCTGCTGGACTCGGGCATAGCGCAGCCAGTCCACTAGCCGCTTGCTGAGCAGGCTGGCCTGGTCTGCAGGGGTGAGGGAAGGCAGGGGTACTGTTAAGTGAAACAGTTAAACCCCAGAGAGTCCCAGACCCCATGCAGCAAACTGAGTCTTGCAGAACCGCATGTCCAAGGTCTTCCCTGGGCCCAACCTGACCAGGAGACCACCCGCCCCCTCCCAAGGACACTGGCAGGAAGGAGCTGGGAGCACAGACCCTACACAGTGAAGGGCCCTCGTACCTTCCTGAAGGATCCCTGGGGCAAGGCCCATGGTCTTGGACAGGACGGGCAAGAGGGGCCTGAGACTGGGCCCCTCAGGCTGCCGGCTCTCCAGGACGGTGAAGACGCGCTGCCCCACGCTTCTCACCTCCTCTCTTCTGTCACCCTTCAAACACAGGCAAGCACCAAGGCACTGACTCGGCCCATGTGCCCTGCTTCACAAGTGTGCAACAAGCACCCTGAAGAACACCCGTCCCTGACACCACCCTTGGAGGAAGACACCCCTGTGGGGTCCAGGACGGAAGGTTCCAGGACCCAGCACCCTTGGCAATAATCAGGCCCACGATGAGGAATCTGGGCTGGGCTTGGCTCTGATCTGACTGTCCCTCTTCGTCCAGGGCACTGCCATCCTAGGGCACCTGCTCACGCACATGTGCTCACGGCAGGCACGCTGCGCCTGGATGGTCTGCGATCATTTGACGTCCTCCAGTCAGGCTGGGGGGCACAGCCTTGTTGCCCTCTGCACTGAACTTTCACATCACTGGCTATGTTCTTAAAGTCCAGCAGGTGAAATGGAACCTTCGTGACAGGTAAGATATCAAACCCACACGCATACATGGCTCCCCAGCAGCATTCGGGAGCCCCATGCAGCAGCCGTGTGGATCACCACTGGTGTCTGGCTGTGGGCTCTGAATACCGCTTTCAACTCAGGGAACTGTGTTTCCTGAGGGAAAGGGGCTGGTTCCAGGCTAGAGAAGGAAATGAACGAGAAGGCTGGGTCACCTTGCACCAGCAGGGAGGCAGTGGCCACAGCGCTGCCAGGTCATTTAGGGACCCGGCTGTGTGGTCTGCACAGGTGCAGGGCACCCAGCATGGAAGCGCACCAGTCAGGGTTACAGCAGCAGACAGCCCCCAGCACCCCACCTCTGACACCCATCCTGATGCTGAGCCTATAGCCAGTGTAACTGTTCATGACTCAAAGAACTGCAGGGTGGAAGTGAGTCTGCCTCCACCTGCTCTGCTGAGAAGCCCAAGTGCAGGGCAGGAAAGAAGCTCCTTTCACACAGGCCGCTGGCCCAGCCCCAGGGTGCCTGAACCACATGCTGGGCATCCTGCACTGCCCCTGCCGCAGTGCTGAGGGCACAGTGTGCAGAAGCTGCCTGCAGCAGGAACGGTGAAACTTCCTGGCCTGGATGTGACTGAGCTGCTCTGATGAGGACAAAGGGACAGCTTGGTCCAGGCTGGGGACTACAGGAAACAGCCTGGTCTCCTCCATGAGCAGCTGCCAGGAGGCCGAGTCTGAGGTAAATGCAGCAAAGCAGGCAGAAATGTCCTAGGCTCCATGTTCCTAAACGATTCAGGAGGCAGGGGACAGCAAGACAGAGGCAGGTGTTCCTTACGCTACTCTATGCTATCACACCTGTGAGGGCAGCCATGGCAGAACCCGAGGCTGCTGGTCAGTGGGCGCTCTCCTGGTCACAAAACGGCAAGGCTACCCTGCTTCTGGGATGCACCTGCTGAGGGGACAGGCCTGGTGTGGACAGGCCCCTCAGGGCAGACCCTGGCTTGCTGTCAAGGGTACTTCTTCTCAGTGAAAGTCCTGTCTGTTCCCTGTCAAAGCAGCATGGCAGATGGCTGGGAACGCCGGACAGCAGACCCTTGCCACTGCTCCCTTAGCCTCACCAATGCCGCCACTGCGTGTGTCTAGGGATGGCATAGCCCAAACCCACGGCCTGACTAGCCTTCAACAGAGTCCCAGGAAGGCACTTTCCAAGGAGCCGGGGAGAGAGTAGGCAGTCGCAGGTTGTTTTAGAATTCTCTGGGCACTGGGGTGCCATGCATTGGAGCAGGTCCACACAGAGCCTGGGCTCCCCCAGAGCTCCAAGACCACCAGGGCAAGATGGCCACCATGCACAGTGGACAACTGTTACCTGGGCCAAGAGCACAGACGCCACCAGGCTCAGCTGATGGGGGTTCTGGGTGTGATCACAGGACAGGGTCAGGGTGTCAGTGGGTGACGTCTCTCTCAGGATGGCAGCACAGAGGACCTGGATCTGCTCAGAGCATGTGGACAACGACAGGGTGGCCTGCAGCAGATCCACACAAGTCTTTTCCAGCCTGGAGGGAGAGACACAGGTGGGCCACAGGTCATGCCCGTGGCACGGAGGCCAGTCTGGGCCCATGGGCAAGGAGACAGAATACTTCCTCGTAAGGACCCTGGGCAACTGTCTGAGTAAACAGAGGCTCAGATGCCACAGGGCACAGGCACTGCCTCTGCCTAGGACTGGCTGTGCACTCACCTGCGGGCATACTTGGTGGCTGAGACGATGAGGAAGAGCCTTTGCAGAGCGTCCACGGTGGCCGGTCCCAGGTCCTCTTGTAGCAGCTTGCTGACCCGGGAGCAGAACTTCTGTAGCTCCTCATCCTGGATCTCCCTGTGCAAGAAAAGGGTGTCGGCAGCTGGCCAGCATCTGACCACGGTCCCAGTCACTTCCTGGCTGTGGGGAGGGGAGTCCCCACTTAGAAGAGAGTGTGGGGAGCTGTGAGGTCACTGTTCCCTCAGCCAAGGACACCCTGAGGTCAATTCAAGGCACGCTGAGACTGAAACCCATCACTTAGTTTGCTACAATCCCTGTAGAGACATCACCCATTCCAGTTGGTATTCCAGAAGCAGAACTAAAACTGACTACTTTTAAGTCTCATTTGGGCTGGGTATGATGGCACACACCTGTAATCCCAGCACTCAGAAGGCTGAGACAGGAGGATCACCGTGAGTTTGAGGCCAGCCTGGGCTCCATAGTGAGTTCAAAGCCATCCTGAGCTACTTAGCAGCTGCTGGAGCTCAGGAACTGGTGAGAAAGGGGGCCAGCTTTTTAACTGGGGTCATGATGCTGAATCCCAAATGCTAAATGAGACTGAAAAAGAAGCAACCCACTGGCTTGACAATTGTAATTATCACTGCCAGCATGGACATACTCTGCATCCCAGCGTAACTCATATATACATATATGCTCTCCAGACTTCAGGCTTCTCAACTGCCAGCCTGCCCTCCCCTCCCCCAGCTCCCCACTGCCCCCAAGCCACTCCTGCCGACCCTCCCGCTGCTCCCAAGGCTGGGCCGCTGGGCTGTACCCTCTTCCTCCAGCTGTCAGGCCATTTCTCTTGCTTCTGCCCCTTTGTGCGGGTCCTCTGTGAGAATAAGCCAAGGCGGGGCCTTGCTGTGCACCACACTCACTTCCTACCTTCATTTACTACTCAGCTCAGACATGTTTCCGATTCCCTTCTCCACCCTTACTTCCCACACCTCAGAAACTTTCGAAAGGAAACTGAAATTTCCTCTCAAACCTTAGTTACTTCTATCAGAAGCGACACCAGAAACCACAGCTTGAAGCATACCGTGGAAACTAGTTAGGTCCTGCTAGGTCACTGCCCGTCCAAACCCTATCCAAGAGGAGCTGTGGGTAGAACGTGAGCTGGGAATAGTGTTCTGTGAGGTTTTGTCCCTTGCCAGCGGTCTGGGGCGAGCAGGTCACATTGCGAGTGGAATGCATGTCTTTTTCATTTAATGCAGTCATCAGTGAGGTATCTGCACACGCACCTGCTCATGAAAGCAGGGTGCCCTGTGCGGGACACAAGGGGAGGGTGTGTGGCACCTCCGCGAAAACCTGAGAGATTCTCGGGTTACTCTGATCCGTTTTGTCCTGGTCCAAGACTTCAGCCCTGAGTCTGCCCCAGGCCCTTGCTCACTACAACCTCTGGGCCCTCGGCCACTGGTCTTTCCCACCAACTCGTGCAGCTCTCAATCCTGGCTGGTTCGTTTGCTCTTTCAGGTTCGTTGCGTTTACCAACGACCTTGGGGTTCCAGCTGCATTTCCTTCCTTAAACGAGCATCATATCTCGGCCTCCTTCACTGGAAGGCGACACAGACTAGTTAGTGGGAGTCCAGAGCCGGCCTGGGAGCAGAAAGCAGCCGTTCTACGTGACATCCCTCGCAGGCCCCCCCCCCCGCAGCGCGAGGTCGAGCTCCGGGCCCGCTCCCTCCGCCCTGGACCTCCCGTCGCTCCTCCGGCAACGCCGCTCCTGCTCACTCGTCTCCTCCCGCGTCCCTCACCCGCGCCGGGCCGGCGGCTGTTCCGTCCCGCCCAGTTCTCTGGAACCGGTCGGCCGGGCCCCAGCAAGTCGCCGCGCCGGCCCGAGGCAGGGGTGCGGGGGCCAGCCGCGCACCTAGCTTGATGGAGCAGACTCTCCGCCCCCGCCGAGAACATCTCTGCGGGAATGCCGAGTTCACACACAGGTTCAGGGCCGAAGCCCGCGGCTTCCGGTCTCGTGTCACGTGGTGTGGCATCACGTGAGCGGGGCGTGCCTCGGGGAGGGGATGTTGGTGGAGGGGCCGCCGGCCAATTGGCTTTGGCACAGAGCATCATGGGGCGGGAGCGGAAGCGCCTGGTTTGTGGTGGGTCCTGGCAAACTCCCGGGTACCCTCGGAACTTTGGGACCCCGGAACCCTAGTTCCCCGGAACACCTTGACGCCGAAAGGCTTGCGGAGGAGTCTGGCGCGGGAGGTGTCTTGGCTGCAAAGTGCCCCTGTACATTTGTCCCATTCGGATTTCTGATTCAAGAAAGTGTCCGGGCCCCGTGTGGATTATGGCCGAGAAATGGCTCACAGATTGCGACTTGCAGCTGGGACGAGAGTCCGGCCACTTTCCGAGGCAGCTTAGGCAGTTAGTGTATTTTTTTAAATTATTGTTTGGGGGATGGAACTGAGGTTTGAAGCTAAGGCTTGACTGAAGTACATCCCCAAGCCTCACCTTCTGTCTTTAAAATTTTGAGACAGTGTCGGAGTTCCTACGTTGCTCATGCAGGGCACTAACTTGAGATCCTCCTGCTTCAGCCTCCTAGTGCTGACACTGAAGAAGTGCGCCAGTGTTTCTGGCTAGCAATGTTTGTTTTAAAACTTCCTTTGTTTAGAGTAGATCATGGACCGTATGGACTGCTCTAAAAGTCTGACTCAGTCCCCACCACAATCATAGGACGTCACTGTGTTTATCAAGTGAGGCACCGGGCTGAGCGGATGCCAGTTTCTGTTCTACATGTGCTGGTTGCCTGGGTTGTGCTGGGCCTTGGCGATAGGATTCCACCTGCACAGTGTGTGCCGCCCTGGACGATACTCCAGCAGCCACAACCCGCATGACAAACGTTATGCCGCCTGCAGTGGGTAGCGTCAGTACAGAAGGAAGGCCTCCCGCGGAGACTGGGGCCTAAGATGGGCTGAGGGCATCAGAGGGGCTGCCCATGCACAAGGCAAAGAGGGGAGCATGACCGCCTGCCTCGTGGGGCCGCGAGGTGGTGGGTGGATGGAGAGGGAGAAGGGTGCTGAGCAAGAGAGGATGATGGTAGATTCGGTCACCATTCAGGGGTGGGATTTGGGGACCGGAGAAAGATCAGGGGCAACACCAGGTTTCTACTGGGCGTGGGGTGACCCAAACTCAGTTGGTAGTGGAGCAGAAAAGGAAGTTTGTGGAGGTTTGGGATGGGGAGACAACAGGGAAGGGATGGGAAGTAAAAATGATGTGACATGCGTATGGACCGGTTCCCCAGGATGAATGTAATTATTATGCATCAAAAATATATTTTTATTTTAAAAAGGAAGTCTGCAGAGTCATTCATTCAGTGGGCAACCATGAGCCCTGGCTGGGCCAAGAAGCCTTGGGTTCTGGCAGCAGAGCAGTATGAGTAGTGGGGTGGAATGTTCTTGAGAGGTCAGGAAGGGATAAACATCGAGAAGACGCCAGGGTGGGAGATGAGGAGAGAGGAGCTGAGGCCTAGGCAGTACCTGGGCAGCTTCCAGACATGCTTCTGAGGCACCCTGGCGGTGCCCCTGCAGCTCCTTGAGGCGAGGCCACTGGTGTTGAGGATGGAGAGACAGGAGCCAGCGGCCGAGCAAGGCTATGTGCTGTGGGTTACCCAGAGGACCCCGAGGAGCTGTGGAAGGGAGCTGGGGAGCCGATAATCCTGGCAATCTGTGCCCAGGGCCCGTGTCCCGCTGTGAGCCTGCACGAGGCAGGGGACAGCACGGCTGGCGCCTTCCTCCCATGTCCGAGGGGTAGGTGTGTGCTGTCCTCACACACTCCAGCTCAGAGCACGCATGGGGCTCAGGCATCTCCAGCAATCATGGGCACCTACGGAGTCATGTCTCTCCGGACAGCTGCTTCTTCCCAGGAGCCCAATGCTGAGGAGAGGCGGGAGGAAGCACAGCCCCCCAGGAGTTGCCCCTCAGCCTCCAGAGCACCTTGGGGTTGAGGCTCCCTCACTGCAGGGAGAGGGGGGCTGTGTGTCCAGGCTGTCTGTCCATCCATCTGTCCCTCCCCTGGCACCCACCTGCAAGGACCACTTGGCGACTAGGTGTCATTTCTTTAATATATAATTTTATTTCTGGTTATAGAAACAAACGCTAAGAGGAGAAACAAAACTTCCCCATCCACATACAACATTTAATAGATAAAAGAACAGTTAAAGTAAATGAAAAAAAGAAACCAAAAAAGTAGAAATTTTAAACTTTGTTATAGTTTTAAAACATTAACATCTGATACAATTAGAAATCACATTCAGATCTCAAACTTTTAAAAAAAAGTATGGCTCCGTAATAAAAAAATACTGTATCCCATTTGAAATGAAAACCCAGGCAAGCTGCTTTAGACGCGGGTCCACCGGCTCTCCCGACTCCAGCGCTTCTGCCCATGGGGACCTTTCGTCCATGGATGTGGGACGCATCCCAAGCTCTAGAACTGGAATTCCCACTTTACAGGATACCATTGCTTTTTAAAGCACTGATTACTAAACGTATTGTGAAAATACTTTAGACAGCCACTGTAAAATAAAAAAAAACCACACACACACATACACACACACACACACACACACACACACTCCCCGAACAACACCCACCCCCCGCCCAATTATTTTTACAGGAGAATTATCATTCAGCTAAAAAACAATCTCAGAGTTGGCTTTACCCCTTCCCTCCCATGCCGAGTCTCAGCGAAGACTCAGACAGCAGTCTCTCCTCCCCTCCCTGCCACTTTTCCTGCAACGGGAACCAAGCCACAGAAGTTAAGCTGTATCAGGAATCCAAAATGCCTCCCGTGGAGATAGCAAGGAAGAGAGAGAAGGACCAAACTTAAAATGTTTGATTTTTAACCCCATTTTTACTGACTATAAAAAAAAAAAATCTGGACCAGCTAACCCAGACATTCAGAGGCTACAGGCAGTTTGAATCCACAGCCAGAGAAGGTAACAAAGGCAAAGAATCTGCCTTTGAGCCACAGGGCTCCTCCCAGCTCAGCCAACCCACGCAGGAACTAGGGGATAGTGCTAGACTCGGGTAAGTGCTGTTACTGCGGGGAAGAAAACCTGCAGAGGGTTGGGGCGTGTCCAGCCATTCTGACACTGTACCCACGCACTTGGGCCCAGCTCCCTGCACACTGATCCAACTACTCCAGAAACATCCCCAGATAAAGAGCAAAAAGCAGGATGCTGCAGATTCTCCTCTTACTCTTAAGTGGGTAAGGTGTGGGGACGAGAGGGTCCCTTGGCGCCCTCCCAGGTGTCCTTGGCAGTCTTTGGGGGACCACAACCCAAGGGGCCATGACCCGAGGATGCCGCTGGCTCATGGGAGCCAGCATCCAGCTGCTTGACCCAAGGGCAAAGGTCACCTGCCACCGTCCTGGCCTGGGCTTTTCTTCTCCCTACACTTCAGTGGCTGACAGAAGAGCAGATGCCAAGAATGAGTAAGAGCTTTACGTGGAGGTTCTCCCTGCAGGGAAAAGGATGCCTAAAATAAAGCCACAGCCCTCTTAACTCTGCCACAGTGCTGAGCAGCTCAACCAGCCATCTGCCTTTGTAAAAGAAGCTAACAAATCCCCAAGGCTCACCCAGTGAAAGCAGGAATCTTCATTTCAGTCTGGCACAAGAATACTTTGGAAGTTCCCATCAGGGTGGCGGGCTGGGCTTCGTGGTGGAATTCAGTCTTTCTCTGGGCCATGATGTGACCAATAGTGACCTCCAGCAGTGACCTCTGGCTCGCACCTCTTTCTTGTTGTCCTTTGGATGTTTTGCCCTGAGGACCTTTCTCCCACCTCCACGGGAATGCCACCCGCTTTACATGCCCAGGAAGCACCTCCTCGTGGCAGCCCTGCCTGGCCACTGCACCCCCAACCCCAGGGTGTAGTTTCTAATGTCGCCTCCAGCAGTAGAGCTGGGGCCTGGAAATCAGAGCCGGTCCTGCCAGGAGAAGAGCAGACAGACAGAGTGCCTGTAGCTTCTGCAATGGCAGTGAGCTGCTCCTGTGACTTTTGTTTATAAACTTAAGTGCAAAACCATCTTTCCTGCATGAAGTCAGTATTTACTTCAGTTCAGGAAATTCATCCATAGGCATCTAACAAAATCCCTCTCTGCCAAGCAGTTGTGACTTCAGGGAGGACAGAGGAGACACAGCAGGTCCCAAATGGACAAACCTTTCTCCTGCCCACACTCAAGACAATTTGGACCTCTGGCTGCAGCAGGAAAGGGGTGCCTGCCAGGCACCAGAGCCAAGCGCTGGCCCAGGCACCAGTGGAGCAGCTTTTGGTACTGAAAGCAGATGCCAGGGGCAGGTGTCCTGCCCCAGATCTGAGCAAGAGCAAGTGCAGTGATGATGGGGACTGTCCTGCACGCTCAGAAAACCCAATGTGAAAACAAGGCCCAGAGAAAGGAACTTACGAAGTACAAGGGAGCTGCAAAGGACAGGAGCGCACTGGGAAGAGCGAAGCCAGAAATCGGCAGGGGACCTGTTATACTCCATGTTCTGCCCTTGCCTCGAAGAACCAAAGCACGCGAAGGGGCACCGCCAGGGCTAAGTCCTAGGATTCTGTCTTCATAGCAGCACTTTGAACAATCCACATTGTTCTTATTAAATAATATTGCTTCTAGGCAGAGGTATTCTAGAGGCCAGAGACCAGGCTGCGGTGAACGCATTCCCATCTGAAGCTAGCAGCCCATGGTGGAGCCACTCCTGGGCTCATGAGGGTCTTTTACTAAGACAGTCTTACAGCCACTTTGTGTAGTTCCTCTGGAGGAAGCCCTGTGCCACAGCACGCAAACGCTGTCCAGGGGGCGCAGGCGTGCAGGACAGCCAAGCGCGCCCACCCTAGAGATGCCGCATCCTTCCGACCGCAAGAAGCCGCTTGAGGGCAAAGTGGAATCTGAGCAGCAGTGTCCCTCTCACTGCCTGTACTTGTTCCTCCTAACAGTTGGGGGAAATGCTTTCTTTCCTAACATTGACCCACATTCAACTAAGTTGTGTTTCAAGGGAGGTCCGTCATCGTCTGGAGGCCGAGGGCAGTTTTCTCCTCCTCCTGAACTGGAGGAGAGCTTTCTGTCTACCAGTGCCACGGGCTCTCTGGCGAGTCCCCGCTCACACAGAAGGTCCCTGGAGGCCCCTCTGTTTCAGCGGAAAGACAAGTGCCAGCTGAGTGACACCTGTGAGCTCAAAGCAGGCTGTCACCGGACCTGATGAGGGCAGAAAAGAGCCCAGGGGCAGGTGCCGAGGCCTTGCCTCAGCCTCGTCTTCCCGGGGACCGGGTGGCCTGGAGGGCGGGGAAACATCCATCGCAGCCTGCGTAAAGCCGATCTGCTCCCTCTCCACAAGACACAAAACAGGACCTGGGAGCACAGGCCGCCCATACCAGCGATGCCGCAGTTCACTTCCACCTGACAAAAAGGATGTGCACATAACTCCCCCGCAGGAAGAGGAGGGAGGCGGAGGGCTGTGGTCCACACCGCCTCCTCCCAGCGCTGGCCCCAGACCCTGGGGTCTCTCCTTCCCCAGGGCGTGTGGAAACCTCTTGGCAAGGATTCGGGGACAACCAAATGTCCTTGAGACCGGGCAGCATGGTCCTGACTGCAGGACAGGCCATGCACCGCGTGACTTCTGAGGATTTGGAAAGAAGGAGAAGAGTGTGGATTCCTCCAAGGCGGGGCCACGGACTCCCACACAGGCAGCCGCCAGGGCTTCACCCAGGAGGTGCTGACTGCAGAGATGCTGCACACTCCCCTCCGGACACCAGGCTGGGGCCCTGGGCCTCCCTGAGCTCCCGGCTTCGGTCAGTGCCACGGTGGCAGGGAGCCCTTCTCATGTCCCACACTACACAGCCAGTCTTGGTGGGATGCACCCAACTGTTTAAAAATGGTGACTTCTGTCACTGACCCCGTCCTGCATCTGTGAGGCGATGGCTGGGCAGAAAGCACTGGAAGAGAGTGGACGCCAGTCTCCGCCTGTAGCCCATCAGATGAGCAGAGGTTTCCTCTCTACCCTAGACCACGCAGGGCCAGGAACCCTGGGTGACACAGCAAGTTCATCGGGGTCCACAGGTGCAGCGAAGCTGACCCTGTGCCACAACCATGGCTGGTCTGCTCTCCCTCAGCCAGGAAGGCTGCGTGGGACCTTGTCCCGTGGCGGGTCATGGGCACCCTGAGCGCGGTGTCAGCTCTCCTGGCACCCGGTGGGGCTCTGGCCCTGCGGGTGCGCTCAGGAGAGCCCTGTGGGAAGGTTCAGCATGCACCGGGGGGGGGGCCCTCTGGCCAGGATTTATGGCTTTCAGCTCCAGAGTGTGTTCCAACACAAGCCAGGTGTGCCGCCTGGTGGGTGACCAGAGACCCTCGAAACACTCATCCTACACCCCCAGAGCAGTCCTCCCCAGCAGGGGCCTCTGGCCCAAACCATCTGCACTGACCCCAAAGTCCCTCCCTTCATCTCTCTCCTAGTCGGGCACATCTCCATCCTCCCCAGCACCCTCCACACCCCTTCCCCTGGCACCAGTATCAAAGTCACCAACGGAGGACAGAGACCAAAACGTCACAGACGCCAGGAGAGCAAATAGGTTGGAGCCAAAACAACGAGATCCTGCAGCCTGGGTACAAATGAGGCCCAAGGAAGGGGAAGACACCACAGCCCCTGATGTCCCTTGTCACACAGTTCCTCAGGCCCCCTCGCCCCATCCCTCCTCCCGACCCACACAGGCACCATGCGCACAGAAGAGACAGCACTCCCAGGAGGGGAGCGGTGCGAACCCTCGGTGTGGGAACCCTTGGCCACTTCGCCGCGGTCCCATCTGGCAAGGGCACAGGCGGCTGCTGTCACCCACACCCGATTCTCTGAAACTCCACCATGGTCACACGGATACAGACTTCAGAACAGAGCTTATTTCCCATTCAAATTTAGTGCCATAGAAATGGGGGGGGCACTTTAAAAAGCAACAGGACAGGGATTTTCCTCAGTGAGGCAGAAGGCCAAATGCCAGGAGATACAGCCTGGGGCTGTCCCATCACCCACCGGCCCTGTCCCAGCCCGCTGCGGCCTGCCTTCTGGCCCTACCTTGGAGTCACTGTGACAGCCGCACCCTCCTGTTAAGGGGGCGCGTACCCTGCCGGCTCCTGGCTCTTGTGGACAGGCTACCACTCCCTCCCGCACTGCCCAGGACCTGATCTCTCTGGGGCTTTTCCATCAGGCCCAGGGCAGGGGAAGATGTCTGCTGGTGAGAGGCTGTGATGCCAAGGTCAGGCTGTGCCTTCAGGAGCTGTGTCCACTGTGCTTCGTTCTTGGCGTGATCCACTTCCGGAAGCCACGGAAGAGGGACCGGCTGCCTGGAGGCAGCTTTTTCGCAGATGCAGTAATGTTTCCTGAAAGCATCCTTCAGGAGGAGCCAGGGCAGAGGCTCCCACTTCTCCCCCTGCTGTGAGGGAGCTCAAAGCGGGCTGCTGGGCAGGACGTGTGCAGGGGCTTCCCTAAGGGACCTGGGACCCCTCGATCAATCCTGTCCTTTGGTTCTCACCATGTTGCAATCATACCGGTGACGTTGGCACAGGGCTTCCCACTGCTCCCTGAGGAGGGTTTTCTTCCTAACTGACCCAAGGCCCCACGCTTGAGGCAGAAGAAACAGTTCCAATTTCAAACAGTGGGTGGAGCTGGGGTGGTCAAGAAACTGGAATGTGGCTGGAAAGAATGTCAGCAGATTGTGTCCCACTGGCCCACGAGCACCAGGACATCCGAGCTGCCGGGAACTCGGGGCTCACCCCTCCTCTGTCTTGAAGTGAGAGGCACACGAACGTCCTCCCTGCCAAGCAGGCGACCGGCTCCTGCCCCAAGCACCAGCTCCTGCCCGTGTTTCCTGGGCCTGTCACGTGGCACGTGGGTCGTAGCAGGACGGACCCTCCACCTACAGCACTTCCATCTTGATGTTCCTGTGCGAGCCGCGACCCTTCTTGAAGTTATCAGACGGGGCGGCCGGTTCACTCTCCTGGGGGGTGATGGCAGGGTGACGCCAGCTACTCAACTGTCCATGGATGGGAGCCTCGAAGACACAGGGCCCCGTGGGCTTTTGGCTCCGATCTGGGATAAGCCTGCATGCCGTGTTTTAACACAGCAAGAGACACTTGAGTTCCAAGGCCAAACCAGACAACTCCCCTTCCCACCCCAATTAATGCCGGTATTTTTTATGCCACTTTTGGGAAAAGACACCAAAAAACAGTCTTCAGTTTCGCAGCTCCTGCCTTTCTCTGGCCTATTCCTGATTTCGAATAGGCATCCGTTCCTGCTCCGCCTCCCGCAGAAGAGGCCTTGGGTGTACAGCTTCGCTCTCTTGGCTCCCCCAGGGACAGGCAGCTGCCTTGGCAAAGCTCTGAAGCCAGGACATGGGGTGCGGTCCTCTTTGTCGTAGGTGAGCGTCTTGCTGGGTTCCTGAGGTGCTGGGGCTCGATCTTCTCCCCACACCCTTGACCGAAGGGCCAGGGAGGGATGATGGTGCAGAAGGAGACAGAAAGAAATACGCAGAATCCCCAGAATCATACAATCAGTTGTCTGAACTTATTTATGTGTTTTTGTTTCAAACCTTGGGAGGACAGGAGATAAATGGGCAGGACGAGTGTTCTGGTGTGGCGGCCTCGGGGCGGGCAGCTGCAGCGTTTCCCTCCCATCTGTCCGGGCGCAGCTGTCTGCTCCACTCAGGCTCCCGTGGTGTGAGTCCACCCTTGTGCGTGCATGCAGGTGACTTCACTCCCCGGTGCCTGGGCCCTGGGGGCCGGCAGCTGCCATCACCCCGGCCTGCATGGTTGCTGTCCCACCAGGCTCCTCCACCCGGGACCGTTTGACCTCAGGTTCCCCGCTGGAAGAGGCTGAGGTGGCAGTAGAGGCGGCCGCGGTTGGGGTGGCACTGGTGGCTGCTGTGACCACTGCTGCTGGTTCCTCAGGCCCCACCTCACATACCCGGGTGACCACCACCGGCGTGGACGAACTCGCCTGGGCTGCAAGGAGCTGCAGGGGGCTGGTGAGGGCTGTGGTAGAAAAAGGACATGTTACTTAGGGACCTGCGCTCAGTCAACTGAACAGGAAGGTGAGCTTGCCAGTCCTGGGGTACTCTGTCCCAACACCAGCCGGCCAGCATAGCGGAGGGCCCCATCTCTCACCTCTGGTACCCAGAGGTGGCCTGCGCTGAACCAGCCCAGCCCACTCTACACCCGCACCCTTGCCAGCCGCCCAGCTTCCTCCTCTGGTCTCCTATCCCACCCAGTAAGGTGTGAGCCTGGCGAAGTACCTGATGCACAGTGGGTGCTCAATAAATGGGCCAAGGCAAACTGGGAGAGGCTCAGCAACCTTTCTGGTGCTGAGCTGACCTTCCATGTGGGCCTGGGGCCTCACCGTAAGCATTGGTGGCTAAACTGTTCGTGGGAACCGCATGCTTTCCATTCTGAGTGACAGCCCGGACGGGGAGATGGTGCTGCCCGATGGTTACTGGTGTGGCCGGCTGCAGGATGGTGACGGTGTGCCCAGGAACCCCGGGGGCCATCTGGCTGGCCACTGTCTGGATGACTCGGCTGGCCGCAGGGATCGTGGCAAAGGCAATGGTTGGCTTCTCCTCCAAGCCTGTGGGGCATGGGGTGAATCAGAGCCACACACTGGGGCGGGGTTGGGGTGGGGCATGCTCAGCTGTGGAGCGCTTTCCAGCACACATGAGGCCCTGGGTTCCAGGCCGAGCCCCACAAAAACAAAATAAAACACATTGGGTCTCTGAGGTCAGAGATTTGCACCGATGACCTGGCATGGGGCCTGCCGGTGTGTGTATATATGTGCACACGTCCGCGTGCTAAATGGCACAGGGAAAGCATGAAAATTGCACCGACAAAATACCCTTCCAGAGAAAAACAGTACGGTTTCAGAACAAGATGCCTTAAACTTTGACCAAACCAAATTTAATCTGAAAAGGTATAATTTGGAATGAAATGATTTGTTTTTAAAGAGCTAACTCATTCTTCTTTCATCAGGATGCAATTTTCACTGACAATATCAAAATGAAAAGTTGCTGCAGGATCAGGCCAACAGTGGGAACAGTGGCCCTGGATGCTCTGCAGGACAGAAGAGCTCCCAAGAGGGTCCCGGACAGGCCCAGCGCTCTGGCCGTGCCTACCCACACGTGTCCTGGGTTTCAGCCTCCTTGTAGGGATTCCCAGCTACTTTTCACGCCCAGTGACCCCAGAAGACTCTGGCTCTGGAGGGGTCATCCTCCAGGCTCGTTCTCCCTCCCTTAGGAGATGTTAGATTCCAACTGCAGGTAGGACCCCACAGCTCAACTAAGTGTCACCTTGAGAAGAAACGGAAGTTGACAGAAGAGTCACATGCACTTGAAGGATCAGGGAGGAGGCCACCTGGAGACAGTCCCTGCCCTCAAAAGGCATGCTTAGCCATGTTGGCACAAGCCTGTAGAGCCAGCACTCTGGGAAGCTGAAGTAGGTGCATCACAAGTTCAAGCCCAGCCTGGGCAACAGAACAAAAGCCCATCTCAAAATGAAAAATAAGACAAGGGCTGGGGATACAGCCCAGTGCTGAGACCCTGGGTTCAAATCCCAGCACTGCAAAAAAAAAGTGCACACTCGCAAGAGACATCGGCAGAGACCTGGCCTCTTCGGGCCTCCGCCTGCTGGCCCAGGTGATGGTGCACGGCAGCGACAGTGTGGCAGGCACTGGCAGTGTAACTACATTACTCACCTCTGGCTTCAGTGCCCAAGTCTAGCACGGCTGTGCCCGTGGTGTCGTGTGAGCTCCCTGTGGAGCCCTGGCTGGCGAGGATGTAGCCATTGGCTGAATTGGCAGAGGTGGTGACCACTCTGACCATGGTGACAGTAGGGGCCTGCTGCACCACGTGGATGGCGTGGCCTGAGGGCTGCTGTGAGGTCACTATGGAGGCTGGCATGTAGGCGACAGGCTTGGCCACTAGGTTGGATGGTCGGGGAGGCACGGCCATGATCACTGGCTGGGCGCTGACAGGGGACCCTGCACGGGGAGAGAGAGGACAGTGATGGGAAGGCCCTGCCCCGCTGGCACCATCCAGACTCCACCACAGCCAGGGGAAGGACAGGACCGTGCCTCACCAGGTGCGCTTTGGGAATACCGGTACTCCGGGACGGAGGCCAATTTTGAGCCTAGCTCAGGGTCATGTGGAATGGGGGAGCCCTCCCGAGACAGGCACTCTGGAGTCTGCAGGCCACTGGAGCGAGGGGACATCAGCCCAGGGTGAGTGGGTGAGGCCGGAGCACTCCTGAGAAAGGACAGAGAAAGAGAGGGCTTCCGAGGTAAGTCAATGTGTCACTGACTGAGAAGGACTTCAACTGTCACACACCACAGCGTCTACCCTGAATGTGCCCGCCCCCTGCCGCCCCCTCTCTCTGGCCCACTGAGGTCTGTCCAACTCTGAAGTTCTGGGTAGTGACAAATGCCACCTGGTCACACAGACCCAGCATTCCCAACTCCACGCAGTGGGGGTGGGGCCTCCATTAAACGTGTTGCACACATCACTGGTAGCCTCCCTGCACATGCCAGTCAGTGCATTTATCTCCTGCATGCCTCAGCTGTTTTCTACAAGAGTGGCTCAGGCCATGTCAAAAGACCACCAGCAGAAGATGGGCACTGGAAGACCAGTTCCCCTGAGCACCATGACACGGCCCAATCTGGAAATGGTGTTCAAACTTTTGGGCTGTCTTTCACGGGGCAGGTTTGACACTACCCTGAACAGAAAGCACCCCTGATGTCTCCTCCATGTGGAAGAGCTCCTGAGGATGCTCCCTTCCTGTTTCCCCTCAGCCATGCCTGGGGCTGCAAACTTGGAAGAGCCACCCACCTGTGCACAGGCAAGAGATGCCCTGACCCGCCAGGCAGGCAGGAGGCAGAGTCAGGTGCTCCTGTGACGGGTGAGACGGCCCACCCCACTCTGCCCACCAGCGGACAAGCCATGTCCCCAACACCACGCTGCCAGATTACAGCCCTGGTGGTCAGGTAGAGGCGGAGCCTCTCTTCCTCAGCCCTGAAAAGGCCCCACGCTGGGTCAGGATGGGAAGCAGCGGGCTGTCCACAGGGTCCCCTCACACGTGGGAGCAAGCTCAGTCCCACCAGGCACTTGATCTGTCACCCTTGGCTCTCGCCACATGGGGAAGCAGTCAGCGTGAGTGGACCGGCCTCACCCGCTGCTGTGCTCGCACGGGGCTGAGACCGGCTCTTGGGAACGCAGCTGAGGGCCACAGCACCAACCATGACCCTGCACGGGCCCAGCAAAGTGGGGGACTTACCGTGAGGACAGAGGCCCGAAGGGGGTGCGGAAGCAGGAGACGCCCCTCTGTCTCCGTTTTCGGAAGGCTTGTTCCACCAGTTTGGCCTCGGAGGCAGGATCTATCCGCCAGAAAGAGCCTTTACCAGGCTCCTCCTGGGACCGCGGGACTTTGATGAAGTAACGGTTTAGAGAGAGGTTGTGCCGGATGGAGTTCTGCAGGAGGCAGAGAGAGCCTTGGTCACCAACACATTGAAGCACAGCAGCTGCAGCCCGGGAGGTGACGGAGCAATAGGCTGCCCCGTGGCTGTGGGTCGACCGTACCTCTCAAGGGCTGAGGTGGTTTTTCCTATCCAAACCCCACCCAGGTAAAGCCCATCATGACTCTTTACAGAGAAGGCAAAACAGACAAGCCATGGACAGGCGTGTGTCAGCCTCAAGGAAAAGCCTGGGTCTCAGAGAGTTTAACATGTGTCTGGGATAAACCAGCCACAGGGCAACAGTGACTACAGGGAAACCACTAAATGGCAATGGACGTCAGTCTAAGACAGAGGTCTCGAGGTCCTACACAAACACAACACACACTGCTAGCTGGAGTGGTGGCGTGTGCCTGTAATCCAGCAGTCTCGGAGGCCGAGGCAGGAAGATTGCAAGCTGGAGCCCCAGCCCAGGCGATTCTGCAACTTAGCGAGACTCTGTCTCAAAATAATAAACAAAAAAGGGATGGAGATACAGCTCAAGGTGGAGTCCTTGGGTTCAACCCCTAGTACCACAAAAAATAAACAAAAATAACTCCATTTTCAAATGGACTGCAGCGTTCACATGTGTGGGTTATTTCCAAGGAAGCCCAGGATAACATACACTAGGCATAGAAACCTAACAAGCTATGGGGGAAACTGATAAGAAAGACTCATGTTAGCCTATCATGTCTTTCCACAGCAGCCTACCCTAAGCTGTAGGGTGTATTTTTTTCCCCAACTTTTACTCGATCCAAACTCATTCTGCAGAGCCCGTTTTTTCCTACCTTTAGTACATGTGAAAGTTTACCACCAAAAAAAAAAAAAGGAAGCCTCATTTTAGACTCAACAACACTGCAGCTGTGACATATTCTAGATGTATCCACACTGTCCCGGAAAGACGTGCCCTGTGTCTCTCCCTGCTGTGTCACTCCGCGAGCGGCGCAGGTGCCAGCTCTGGGGCAGAGCCCCGCCTCACCTGCCAGCCCTTGTCGGCCGTCCTGTAGTACGGGTAATGTTTGGTGATGTGCGCGTAGATGCCGCTTAGTGTTAGCTGCCTGTCCGGGGCCGAGGATATGGCCTGCACGATCAGCTGGGCATAGGAGTACGGTGGCTTCGACTCATCCTGCGCACAGACAGGGACCACAGGGTCACATGGCGGCCGCTTCCATGTCACCAGCCCACGAGGAAAACCTCCCCACAAGATCACCCAGGTCTGGACCAGCTCCATCCCAGAAACTCCCAGCTCAATGCACTTGCATTAACTCGCAGTTGTCGCTTCTGCCTCGGGGGAAGGAAAAGCTGTTTCTACTGTAGTTTAATTCTGAGGCGTCCTTCCTCCCTGACACACTGTGTCAGGTCCCAGGTATAAAGGAACAGAGGCACACACTTATGAGGAGGACGTGGCGTTCTCAGAGACTGTCAGTACAACTCGGAAACAGTCTTGGCAGGAGCAGACGGACGATGAGCAGGGCGGCAGTAGTGACCTCAAGTCATGGACAATGGCCACATTCATCATTTGGGCTGGCCACGGCTGGAAGGCTGCTGGCTGTCCTGGCCACCCAGCCACATGTGTGCCCTAAAGCACCGTGTGTGCCACCCACTGGGCCCTACTGCCCGGTCCTGTCACCACAGGTGCTGAGGTTCCGACCTTGGGGCTGTCCCCGCCGGATGTGTCTGCCTGCTGCTCCGAGGCGGCCTTCGCTGCAAACTCTGCAGCCAGCTGCAGGTCTGAGGTCACGTTCTGGACATAGCGGTAGCCAGAGGACCCGGCTCCACGTGGACTGGCTGGGCAAGAGTTGGGGACACTGCGGAGAGGAAAGGACACACGGTGAGTTCTTGACTCTAGAGGGAGGACTCTGCAGGGGGCGGTTGCGGGACCACCCTGGATGATGGGGGACTCATCACTGCCCCGCCGCACACAACAGCGATACACTGCACAATCCTCTTCAGAGGAGCGGGGACACCCAGGGCAGAGGTCCCACAGCTCGGGCACAGATCCCGGCGACGGCAACACGTTCCCTTCCAGCAGCAGCCTCTGCTGCAGGGCCAAGGCTGCCCAAACCCTGGGTCTTCAGGTGGGGGTGCTGAGGTCATCCTGCCCACCGAAGTGGGGCAGCTCTCACTGGCCCAGGCTTCCCGGTCACGCAGGGCCAGCTCCAGGCAGGAGGACCAACTAAGCATCTCCGGGAGCAGCTAAGCAGTGCACGTGCGTCCACAAGGTGGCACCCTAAGAGAAGGCTTGGGATGGAGAGTAACTCCTCCGGATTATACAGAAACATGCTGTGGACAGCACCCGGGACCTGCTAGTGCAGAACTGGACATGGTAGTGCATGCCTGCCATCCTGGCACTGTGGGAGACTGAGGCAAGAGGATCACAAGTTTGAGCCTAACCTGGGTAACTGAGTGACTCAGTGAGACCCTGTCTCAAAATACAAAAGAGCTGGGGATAATGTAGCTAGCTCAGTGTGAAAGTGCCCAGTTTAATCTCTAGTATCTCTCTCTCTCTCTCTCTCTCTCTCTCTCTCCCCCTCTCTCTCTCTCTCTCTCTCTCTCTCTCTCACACACACACACACACACACACAAAGAAAAAAAACCAAGGAAGCTGTAGCCTGTTTCCTCTCGTTAGTGAAGACAGGCTTGTTATCAAACCACATCAAAACCTGATTCTGAAAATGATTCCTATTCAAAACATTCTGAGAAAACCAAATGAACATGGCAGGTGGGTGTGGGTGTCAAGATCAAAAGTCCTCACGTGGTCGCCCTGCCCACGTGGGTCCTGCCTCATGTGTCACATGCCCCACCCAGAGCCAGTGATGGCCCAGGCCCAACCCTGGGGCAGAAGGGACAGACGTCCCTCTGCTGTGTGCCCCTGGGCCGCCCAGGGCCCTGGGAAGTGGTGGCTTCCCCGTACCTGGCTCCAGAGCTCCGGCCACCTCCGCCTCGTTGCCCTCCCCCCCACATGCCCCTCGAGTGCACTGGGTGGGACTCAGCCCCTCGCTGCCTCTGCCCTCCCTGGCACACTGCGCCCTCAGGCCTCGGACAGGACCCCAGAGGGTCCTGACCTGTCTCCCGCTCAGCAGCGGCCGCCTGCACAATGAGGGCTCGAGAAACACTTGCTGAAAGCAGCAAGCGGCACTGAGAAGCAGAACTGAATTGAAAACCCTGTGGCTGATGCCAGGAGAAACTCCAGGCAGGTCACTGCCCTCCCAGGGATGAATCAGCTCAAGCCAAGCAGAATTCTTAGCATTCTAATTTATGGGGTTTTTGTTTTTGGTTTTTTTTGGTGCTACCAGGAATTGAACCCAGGGCTCTCACACGGAACTATTCCTTCTGCTCTTTTAAATTTGGAGATAGGATCTTTCTGAGTTGCTCAGGCTGGGCTTGAACTTGTGATCCCCCTCCTGCCTCAGTCTCCTAAGTCTGTGAGATTACATGGGAGTGCACCATCATACCAGGCTTCTAATTTGAGAACATCTCTTCTCCTTTCCACCTGATTTCCAAATTTGCTGGAGACAGATAAATCTTGTATGTGCAGAAATTTTTTCCAATGTGTGTGCCCTGGCCACGCCTCCAGCTCGAGAAGCCCAGCTCAAGCTTCTGTCACGTACAGATATTCTAATCAGCAACTAGATGTGACCTCTGTGTGTGTGTGTGCACGCGCACAAAATACAAGACTTCTGAATTTCATTCTGAACCTAAAATACAACCCATGCACACAGGCGGGGAGGGGACAGAAGCTCTCACTTGTAACATCTCACACACTCAAAAATCAGGTTTTCAAACACACCCATCTGGGAACAAATTTCCCCTGGCTATGGCACAGAGGTGTTTGAGGAATGCAATGGGAAGGTGACGTGGGGCACCTCCTAGGACTGCAGCCCTGCAATGGGTCTGGGCCCTCGGATGCTGCTTGGGCTCAGAGGGGCTGCCCCGTGGCTCAGGGCCATGCTGCAGATCACAAGTCCAAGGTGTCGCCCATATACACAAACAGCCTCCCCGCAACAGACCAGGGAATGTCCGGCTGGAGTGGGAGCCGGCCAGCGAGAGTTCATCTTGAACACCTCGCACACAGGCACTGAGGCAGTGAGGGCTTCCATCCGTGTGGCCCGGCAATGGTGCAGCCTGTGAGCACTGCTGATTCGGGAGGACTGTGGGGCAGCTGTGGGAAGGCCCCTGCTGCCTGCACCCACAGGTGCTTCGTAAAAAATCACGTAAAAAATTCGTAAAAAATCAGACTGAGTAGAATGTGCCAGGTGTGGTGGTGCACCCCTGTAGTGCAGCTCTCTTGGAGGCTGAAGCAAGAAGATCCCAAGTTGGAGCCCAGCCTGGACAACTCAGACACTTCACAAGACTCTGTCTCAAAAGAAAAAGTGAAAAGGGCTAGAGATACAGCTCAGGGGAAAGGCTCTGGGTTCAGTCCCTAGTACAAAATTAAGAAAAGGCCAAGAAAAACAGATGGTAGAATGTGAGTCTGCATCCTGCAGGGAAACCCCAGGCAGAAGCACCATGCCCCACAGCACGGGTGAGTGGAAATAAGACACCAGGCTTGGCAAACTCTGGCTCTAACACAGGGAAAGGGCAGAGCAATCCTCTGGCTGCTTCTCGGTCTGGGTTTCCCGGCAGCACGACGCTCACCGCGATTTCCCGGCCCGCGGGCAGCTCCTTTCTCAGCGAACCCCCTTCAGCCATCCCTTGAGCTGCTGCAGCCAGGGCCGTGCCCGGGACGGGCCACCTGACGCCACGTCTCCACTTCAGGGGCTGTGGGACGGGAGAGGCCAGGGACTCTGGAAAACCTCAGGCATGTCCAATGAGCCACCTGAAGACCAATCCAAACGCCCCAGGCCTCGCCCGGATGGGAGCACCTGAGCTCCGGAGCAGGGGCTCCTGCCTCTGGGCCACTTGTGGAAGCTAACCCAGACCGCAGGCCCAAGGCCAGGGACACAAATGCGGCTCACTAGTCCACTGCAAAACTCTCTTACAGCTAGGTGTGGCGATCACTCCCTGTAATCCCAGCACTTTGAAGGCTGAGGCAGGAGGATACCACAAGTTGGAGGCCAGCTTGGGCTGCATAGTCAGTTCAAAGCCAGCCTGAACTACAAAGTTAGGCTTTGTCTCAAAAATACCAAACCAAACCAAAGCAAACCCAACAAAAAACCAACACCTCTCCAGGAGCCTCTGGGGAAGGTCTTTAGAAGACAGCGTGAACTCTAGGTCTCCCTAGCGCCAGGGACCATCCTACCTCTCCCTGCACAGAGCGCCATTCCCTTGTCCCATGCTCCCATGTCCGGCATCCCATCTCTACATTGTGTGAGAAACTGGGGAAGCTGCGAGAGTGTGTGAGCTCCCAGTGGCCGGCCTGTCCCCAGCCTGTCCCTGCAGTGCCCTGCTCTGGCCAGGATAGCCCCACAATGGACCCCACAGCTTGGGCCATACCTCAGGGCCCGGCTGAGACGTGCCAGGCCGCACGGGGGCCTCCCAAGGCCGGGGTGTTGACAGGCAGGGCAGCAGGAACAGAAGCGCCTCAGTCTTCCAGACAGAAACCCAGGCCGAGGAGACAAACCTGCCACAAACAGCCCTGCCACAAACAGCCAAAGGAAGCCAGCTGTGGGGCCAGGGTGGCCATCTTGGGCCCATGGCCACCACCCTCCAGATGGCCCAGGCCCCATGCTGACTGGGACCGACCCCTGTGCTTTCTCCCAGTTCCAGCCCTGCAGTCCAAGTGGAAACAGGGGGCTGCTGGGCAGGAGGGCAGTGTGGCTGAAATAATAGTAAGGGGTACATTATGTAGATGTGCCCGACACCTGCAGGTCCCAGACCCCAGAAGACACAGGCACGGCCAAAGCTCAGGGAGGTGACGCCCTACACTCGTGGACAGCCAGGGTGTCCATGGGAGGGCTGCATCCTCAGTGCCCCACGCGGCCCCACAGCACCCTCGGATCTCGCCAGAGGAAGACATTCAGGGCCTGGCCCCAGCCCCAGGCCTAGCTGTTTCATTCTTATGCCCAATGACCAGCCATGCAGTGAGCAAGGGCCAGGCAGGGACCCCACAGAGCAAAACAAGGAACAGAGGGGCACAGATAAGGCCACCACGCCAGGGAACAAAACAACGCACAGCTCAGATCCCCAGAGAGGGAGAGATGATGCATCCCTGAGGGGGTAAGAACGCTATTAAAAGCATACAAGGAGAGAAGAAAATGCTCTTTCCAATTAAAAATAAAAACAAGTAATAGAAGAAAACAAAATTCAACAGAGTGTGACGGGCGGGACAGGAGAGCCCCCATAAAGCGGGACATGGGGTGAAAGGAAGATGAGGCGGGGGAACTCGAGGACACTCAGGAAGCCACTGGTCACCCGGACACCAGAGAAGGGGTGAGGACACCGGGAAGAGCTCACGGGCAGGAAGACGATGGAACCTCCAGGCCCATCACGGTAGCACTGCCACACACCAGGGACATCAGGTACCCCTTAGAGTGCTGGGGAGAAAGTGTCAGGAATCAGAAAGTGTCCAACTTCTTAACAGCAACTTTTGAAGCCAGAAAAAGACTTAAAATTTTTAAAGGGGGTGTGGGGTGGGGAAGTGTCCAACCTAGGTCTATCTAGAAAAACTATCCATTCAGTGGGAATGAGAATGTGACAATAATTTTCGGGCATGCAAGATTTTTGGGGGGTTACCTCTCCAGTACCCTTTCCTGGGAAGTGCATGAAGCATGCGCCCAATTAAACAAAGGAGCAAACCAGGACAGAGGAAGCCACCAGAGTTAGGATGGACACCCTGAGCCTCCCGGGAATTCCCAGATGGCAGGGA